AAAGCATTAAAAACAGCTGCTTTGTGCTGAGTGAATCCGGTGGGAGTGGGTGGGGTAGGGAACTGTTCATCACTGTCTCACAGATCACTTCATCTTTCTCATGTCTGTACGTGTTTCACTGTGATAGAAATAAAAACAAAGTTAAAAGATTTTCCGGGGCCAACAAACGGAAACATTGGGAGGTACAGCAAAGTAAAAGAAGAAACTAATCTAATAGCCACTCGTGATTTCTGTACTAAGAGATAAACCACTGGGCACATTTTAGAGGGATGAATTTGTGAGGTTAAATTGTCAGAGGTTGAGGATTTACAGCATGGTGATTTAGATAAAAACGAACTAGGACAAACAGTATAATACTGTAGCCATATAGGGTACAATTCTCTGTCTTTAATGTGTATTAAGATCGGGGCTGGGGATTTAGCTCAGCGGCACAGTGCCTGCCTGGCAAGCGCAAGGTCGTGAGTTCGATTCCCGGTACCGGAAACCCCCCACCCCTGCGCCAAAAAAAAAAGATGTAGTCTACAGGGTACTGGGAGTGTAGTTAAATGATAGAGAACAAGTTTAGAGTACATGAGAACAAGTTCAGAGTACATGAGGTTCTGGGTTCAACTCCCATACCCACTCCCAAAAAGTGTCTGGGAGGTCACCCACCAAATGTTACTTGGTAGCTATGTTAGCAGGGCTGGGACTAAGGTAAGGCTAGTGAGGGTCTCAGGACCCTCAGTGTGAGGTTTCAGGGTTGTGTATAGATGGAGGTTACACCCAAGAGTGAATGTCTCCTTAAATGTTGCTCTCGCCACGTCTCACATGTGTCACCCTAGTCTGGACCTTGGCAGAGATCTTGGACTGCTAGCGATCAAAGGCATTTTCCCCTTCTTATTTGGTATTTACATGTCTGTGTGTGTTCCTTGCTACTCCAAGTATGGTACTTGTACTGGCAGGGTTACCATCACTTGGGTGCTTGTCTGGACTGAAAATGGAGATCAAACCTAGGGGCCTATGTGTGATGGCAAGGGCCCTGTCACTGCGCTATCCCCCAGCCCCAGACCCCGCATTTTAGCCAAATCCCAGGGGCACATTAACGTATGAGAGGCACTGGGCTAGCACACGCCCAGCCCAATTAGATTTTCTTCTTATGGAACACTCAGCGTCAACTGGAGCCATGGCCTGTAACGTGCAGGATGCCCACTGCCAGAGAGAAGGATGCCCGCCCTTATGAGCGCAGAGACAATAGAGAAAAGAAACAGGGAATTGCCTCTGGTCAGTGTTCTCACTGACCAGAAGTCCATGAATGAGCGTCCTGCTGTCATTTCTTCAAATAGATTAATTAGAGGAAACAACAACAAAGTCATGTGTACTATCATGGCAGACAACAATTCTGACACAATTCTGCCCAATGACATTCTGAAAACCCACTAGAATGCCCCCAACACACATCCTAGGAGCGGGGCTGGAACTCTTTATGCCTTCACACCGAGCTATATCCCCAGCCCGTATTTAAATTTTGAGACAGGTTCTCACTGAGTTGCCCAGACCTGGACTCCAACCTGCGGTCCTCCAGCCTCAGCCTCCCTGGTAGCCGAGATTACAGGTGTGCACCACCACGCTGGGCTATAGACCCAGATGCTGAAGCTGGTGAGGCTGACGTCACTGATTGTGGATTTTGAATACTGTGACCTTATCCAGGGCCACACCAAATTCTAAAATCCCCATGAAGCAACCACCAGCCTCACCAGAATGGACTCACTGTTGTCTTTCCAAGGGCGAGGTGAGCAGGTCGGCATGACAGTCCCCTGGGTACCAGATTTAAGAGTCAGGCAAACCATCTCAGTAATCAAGATAAATAATATTTCAATGTAACATTTTTTTATGGTACTGGAGATTGAACCCAGTTCCTTCACAGTAAGCTAAATCCACAGGCCTCTCCCTAATTTTTTTTTTTTTTTTTTTTAAGAGACAGGGTTTCACTAAGTGGCTAAATTCTCAAAGCTGAGCTTGAACTTGCAATCCTCCTTCCTCAGATTCCCTGGTAGCTGGGAGTGCAGGTGTATGCCATCATGCCTGGTTCAGCGTAGTTATTTTTTAAATCATAGTTAATGCAAAGAAGTTTAATGCACAATGTATCAAAATTTTAAAATAAACCAAGCACAAGAAAGCACAAGACTTAGAGTTAAAAAAAAAAAAAAAAGTTGAGAGTTCAAGGCCAGCCTGGGCTACAAAGTGAGCTCAAGGCCAGCCTGAACTGCATAGTGAGACTCTGTCTCTAAAAGACAAAAAAAAAAAAAAAAAAAAAAATTGAATCATCCTAGTTTCCTAGGAGAGAGGATATTTGGAATTCTCAGTTTTGAAAGTGAGAAATGTATGAATGGCCTTCCAGGGCTTGGGTAGCCAGAATGTGTGACAAATGTCCCTAACTGTTACTGGAGTTGTCTTGGCTACTTTTCTCTCATTGCTGAGACAAAATACCCAACGCCCAAAATGAAGGAACGAAAAGTTTATTTAGCTCACAGTTTGTGGAGGTTTCAGTCCATACTCGGCTGGCTCCAAGGCAGAGTGGCACACGGCAGAGGGCAACCGTTCATGGAGGCAGAAAACAGCAAAGCAGCAAGACCACAAGGGAGAAGTGGCAGAGAAGAGGAAGCCTCTCCCCCCCTCTTATATTGTAAACAGGCTGCCCCCACCCAGGGGGCGTGTAGCTCTCACATAATCTCCATGCCCTCCTCTTGCACAGGCTCAGGATGAATACAAAGTAAGCACCCTGGCTCCCTGCTGAACAACACAGTTAGCCTTCTGAACTTCTCAAACTGACACAATGAACAACATCCCAGAATTGTAAGGGCAGGTCCTTTTTCACCCCAGGATGCAGAACTGCTGAGTGACCTAGCCAAACCTCTAGACTCCCCAAGTTGACACAATGTATCAACCTTAACAGGAGTCTTGGTAAAATATCATCCCTTGAGCTCATACAGGGACAGCAGTATACTCTTCTGGGCTATTCTGAGCAAACTTTAATGTTTATTAAAGTTGGGGCCAGGGATATAGCTCAGCTGCACAAGCGCCTGTCTGGCAAGCACAAGGTCCTGAGTTCAATTCCTGGTACCAAAAAAAGTTGGGGAACAGATAAATTGACCCAGAAGGCTTGAGAACAGAGTGAAACTCCTCTTCTGAAACCAGGAAGTTCCTAGAGGAAGACAAGACTGGAAGTGGGCTCTAGAGGAAGACAACAGGGAAAGGAGAAGAGCCTCAGAGTTGCAGTCAGGAAATAGGGCTCCTGCTGGCTACTAGGCTCACTACCTCTAAAAATCCAAGCAGCTCCTTTGGCTTTCTGACTTAGGTTATTTGTGCAGCCTCATGCTCTGCAACTACCAAAGAGTTGTGATGATCAACCGCCGTGACATGAGTGAAAGCTGTTTGGAAACTCCAAGGCACTACATGAACGTCTCGGACTGCCGTTCGGTGGCTAAGGCCGGCAAGACTTTGAAAGAAGGCTTTGGGAGGACAGGCCTCTGGGCAGAGAGAATGAAAGGTGAAGCAACCTACGAGGCTGGGTAATAGGAAGCTGGGGCCTGTATTTTTCAGACCACGAAAGAGCACAGCCTGGGATCGCAAGCCTTGAAGGAGAAAACCAAGTCCGATGGGCCCAGCACAGCTCCAGGAGAGCGTGGGCCACCAAAATATCGATCACAAAGTGCAGGTGAGGGAATGACCGTGAGAGAGCACATCTCTGGCTCCCTGGGGCCCCTCTGGAGGCAGGCGGGCCCGTGACTTATTCATCTTTGTTTCCAGGAACCGGACACTTGGTGCCATTGCCAGCACTGTGCCCAGTTCTCAAGGACAAGTGACTTCCTCAAGGCTGGTGAACTCGGGACCTCTCTACCCCTACAGGTCCTGCAGCCTAAGCACTTAAAAACAGGCTCTGTGCGTACAGAGGGGCAGCCGGTGCCCAAGCCTCTGAGCGCAACTGATTTCAGGTGAAGCAAATTAATCCTAATTTTAAGGAAGGGTCAGTGTGGTCGCATGGCCCAGTAGGCCTAAGGTTTTGTTTTGTTTTTTGGTTTTTTTCGAGACAGGGTTTCGCCATGCAGTTCAGGCTGGCCTTGAGCTCACTTTGTAGGCCAGGCTGGTCCCGAACTCACAACGATCCTCCTGCCTCAGCCTCAGCTTCCTGAGTGCTGGGATTACAGGCGTATGCCACCACGCCCGGCGACCTAAGGTTACAGTGACTGGAAATCAAAGAGGGTGCAAAAAACTACACGGTGATTAAATTTCACAGAACTATATTATACCCATGCCTGCACAGTTCACGCCTAGCTGGTTAAATCCGAGCAAGATCTGTCATACAGCAAATCGTGTTGGTTTAGCTCATTGTACTGCGCTCATGTCAACTCCCTACTTTTGAGAATGCATCTTTGGTGAAACGTTGACGGAAGTTGGGTGGGTAATGGGTCTACGGAACTTCTCTGTAGTCATTTTGCAACTTCTTGTGAGTCTATACTTATTTCAAAATGAAAAGTAAAAAAAAAAAAAAAAAAGCTCAGTGGTAGACTGCTTGCCTACCACCTATAAACCCCTGGACCTAATCTCCAGTTCTGCAAAAAAAGCGCAAGGTCCTGGCAAGTGCAAGGTCCTGAGTTCAATTCAAAAAAAAAAAAAAAAAAAAAAAAAAAAAAAAAATCAAGAGAACTTCCTCAGCCCAGTCCCGTCCGCCCGGAGACTGCCCCAGACCGCACACGGCCGGCCTCACCCTGGCCTCGCCTGCCCGGGAAACTGGGCGAGGGCGAGGGTGAGGGTGAGGAGGGCGGGGCCGCACATGCGCGGTTCGGCAGACCGGCCGCGCCGGCGGCGACCGACGCATGCGCAGTGTCGGCCCCGAGCCGCCGCGGTGACCCCGAGCCGCCGCGGGGGGACTGGGTACCTTGGCCCCTCTCCCTTGCCGTCTTTTCCGGCGGTTGGTGCTCCTCCCGGTGTCCTCTCCCGGAGAGACTCCTCGGCCCCTTCCGCAGAGCCGCTCTCGCGTCGCCTCCCTCGTCTGACCGAACGGCTGCCGCCGCGGGGGCTGCGCCAGCCCGCCGTCCCGGGGCTCCGGTGAGTGGGGCGGCCGTCCCCGTCGGCGCGGGCTCTCCCCTCCGCACCCCGCTCCTCCCGACCGCTTCTGGGCTCCCCCGCCCCGCCTGCGCCCTCGCAGCGCCTCGGCTTCGCCCGCCCGTCCGCCCCTCCGTCCGTCCGTCCGTCCTCCCCCGCCCGCGTCTCCAGCGTCTCCCCGGCCGGCTCTGCCTGCGTCCCACCCCGACGTTTCTCCGTGTGCCCCGGGGCGGGGGGCCGGGCTCCCCTCTCCCCGCCGCGTTGCCAGCGTTGTCTGCTCGCCGCCTGCAGCCTCGGTCGCTTTTCGCCTCGCTTTTTCCTGCCTCTGGGGTCTGAGAACCCGAGAGCGGCCGCTGGAGCGTAGGGGAGGCGAGAGCCGCCCCCGGGGCGTGGCGCCTTCGCGTGGGTCCCGTTCCTCGGAGTCGGTTAGAGAGGACGTACGCCTAGGGTCCCGGTGGAAAAGCAACAAAGCCAGCGGAGAGGGAAAAGACCCATTCGGGGAGGAGGGTGTGTGGGAAAGCGCGCTCACGGCGAGCGGACCGGGCGCCCAGGTGCGCTCGGCCGGGTCGGGAAGACCGCAAGAGGAGCTCGATCTTTGCAAAGGCGCAATCGAGGCGGTGGGCGTGAAGTAGGTCCTGCGCGTTCTCGCCCTAACAGCTCACCTTGGCTGTGGGTTAGCCCGCCAGTGCGCAGGGTTCCCCAAAATCAAGCAGCCACCACCGCAGGAAGGGCTCCCCTCCCTGCACACCCCAGGCATTTGCAAATCAGCTTCCTCTTGGGAGGACGGCCCCGTCCTCCAACTCTGGCCCAGCCTGCAGTCATCATACGTTAAAGAAACGGACATCAAAAATGAGAGGTCTTCCTAGTTAATCAAGGTGCGAAGTGCACCACACTTACAATAAGGTGGGGGAGGAGTATTAAAACACACGTAGGAGCCGGGCATGGTGTTGCACACCTGTAATCCCAGCACTCGGGAGGCTGAGGCAGGAGGATCGTTGCGAGTTTGAGACCAGCCTGGGCTACAAACTGAGCTTTAGGCCAGCCTGAACTGCATAGCGAGACCCTGTCTCAAAAAAGACAAAAAAAAATAAAACACACATAGGTCATGGTACGTGCTTTCCGATGCACTACAGTTCAGAAGGAGCGGTTGGGCATGTAGCTCTCCAGGAATCGTTTGAGCCCTGAGATTAAACTGCCCAAATGAAAGGCTGTCAGTCACAAAATACTGAGAGAGGACGTTTATAGAGGTAACGGAGTAAGTACCATTGTCAAGTCAATCAGTCAGCCTGTCATAACGGTCTAGAGTGAATAAAACAGTGGTTTTCATTTGACTGCTTTTTGAGTTTGGGATCCCTACTGACTTACGAGAATCACATCCTTCTGTTAGTTTTTAAAACCTTTTTAAGATTGAGTTTCTTACCTACTATTTTCTAATTCTGCTGAGTTGAAGGAGAATGCAGCCTCCAGGACAGGATCTCGGTGGCTTGTGGATCAGGGCAGGAAGGCTTGAAAACGAGGGAAAGCACAATGATCAAGTGCTTGGTTGGCCCAGTAAACCTATGAAATGCTAGGGGTTGACATTAACTGTTTTTTGGTGTTGTTTTTTTTGTTTTTTTGTTTTTTTTGTTTTTTTTTTTTTAAATCTTTTTGAGACAGGGTCTCGCTGTGCAGTTCAGGCTGGCCTTGAGCTCAGTTTGTAGTCCAGGCTGGTCTCAAATTCACAACGATCCTCCTGCCTCAGCCTCCCGAGTGCTGGGATTACAGGCGTGTGCCACCATGCCCGGCTGGTTAACATTTAACTGTATCTTTTGATTAAAGATTATTAGAAATAGGTGAAATTTTTTATGAGTGGAGGAAGAGAAGAGTTTGAAGAGAGGTTAAAGGGAAAGTCAGAGCCCGGTGCGTTGGTGTACTCCTGTAATCCCAGCTACTTGAGAGTCTGGGGCCATGGGATGGCAACTTTGAGGCCATCCCGGGCAATTTAGGGAGACCCCATTTCAAAATTTAAGAGAAGAAAAAGAGGAAGACAATGAAGACAGGAAGAAGGAATGGGGCGGTAGCTGAGAGGTATGTAAAAGGCTCTAAATTTTATCCCCATTAAAGATTGTATTGTCCTAATACATATTTTTAAGAACACTGAATATCTTTTTTTGGGGGGGAGGTGGTACTGGGGGTTGAACCCATGGCCTTCACACTGAGCTACATCCCTAGCTTTTTAAAAAATTTTTATTTTGGAACAGGATTTCAGTGAGTCATGAAGTTGCCCAAGCTGGGCTTGAATTTGTTATATTCCAGCCTCAGCCTCCCAGAGTGCTGGGATTACAGCCATGTACCACCACACCCGCTTCCCTTATGATTGTTTAAAAAGTTTAAGAAATGCCAATTTAAATAAGTTAAAACTTTTCTTGAGCCGGGCATGGTGGCACATGCCTGTAATCCCAGCACTCAGGAGGCTGAGGCAGGAGGATCGCTGGGAGTTTGAGACCAGTCTGGGCTACAAAGTGAGCTCAAGGTCAACCTGAACTGTGTAGGGAGACTCTGTCTCACAAAGACAAAAAAAACCCTTCTTCTTAGTTCTTATATACCCATCACTGTTAATGTACATCTTGTGCTGTTTTAGCTTTGTTGGCCAATATCAGTAACTTGTTTGGTTTACTCTTACTAAAATTGCTCGTTATATGAACAACATTGTCTGAAACGTTCTCAAATGTATTTTTATATTGAAATTATTTCAGTTGTTAAAATGTAATTACACATATGTAAAGAGTCCCCAGAAACTTTCAGACAAGGGAGGAATACACGGCCCCTACTTGTGTTTTTACTTCTTTTTTAGTTCTGGTTTTAAGCTTTCTTCACTAAACACAGAGTGCCTGCGGTTTTCATTGTGGGTGGAGACTGACAAACAAGGAACCACACCCAGCTTCTTAGGGTTGTTGTTTTTTTAAACACAAATTCCTCCACTGATACCCAAAAAACGTTTCGGTTTGCTTTGGTATTAGTAAAAACCATTAAAAAATAACATTTTATAGTAAAGTAGCCCTGAATATAATGTCTTAAAATTGTCCTTACAGAACCATTTTTGCACAGAATAAGTGAAAACATTTGACTCTGAGGTAGAGCCTTGTTTTTGAATCTCTGCTGTGAAGAAAGAACTGATTTTTTGCCCAAGTATCTTTTTTAAAACACTGCTAGTGTTTTAAATAGCCGTTTTTCTTAGTAATAACAAGTGTTTTCACGTTATGTACAAGTCTTGTTTAATCCGCAAAACAATTTGAAAAGCTGCTAAATATTAAGGGGGAATCTTTAAAAAAACTTTGCATAGAGTGCACTGTCTTTGTAAGTGGCCTTTGGGTCTCTTGATTTTCACTCAGCTTTATATTGGGGTGAAAGGGCAGAAGCAGACCACAGGGGAAGAAGGCAGGGTAAGGATGAAGTACTGAGCACTGGTGCCAGTGCTGGAGCAAGTGAGTGTCAGTGAGCAGTGTAGCCAGATGCGATAACGGGTTAGCCAAAGGATCTGGAAAGAAATGAGATTGCACATTTAGGTGAAAAAATACTATATAAACTTTTAACCTGTTCGTGTCTCTCTACCCTGGTACAAGAGATTGTCAGGGACTTCGTACTGACTTACATCCCTAGCCTTTTTTTAATTTTATATTTTGAGACATGGTCTTGTTAAGTTACCCAGGCTGTACTCAAACTTGTGATCCTCCTGCCTTAGCCTCCCAGAGTGCTGTTACAGGCATGTTCCACCAAGCCCAGCTGGTATTGTTTTGTTCTTACATAAAACGAGGAAGTTAGGATCCCTCATTTTTTAAGGTGTCTTCCATCACTATAATTGTGATTATATTTTTTCCTTTGTAATATTGTCTCCTTTATAGGTCTTTATTGTAACTTGTAAATGTGAACAACCAGCAGAGATTTGTCGAATACCTTAAGGCTGTGTCTGCATGTATATGCATATATCTATATATCTATATACCTATATATAGATATATAGATATTTTTAACAGTACCGGGGATCGAACTCCCGACCTTGCGCTTGCCAGGCAGGCGCTTATGCCACTGAGTTATATCCCCAGCCCAACCTATGTATTTTAGTCATAGGTTAGTTTCTTTTTTTCTTTTATTTTGGTTTTTTTCTTTGAGGCAGGGTCTTGTCATGTAGTTCAGGCTGGGCTTGAACTCACTGTGTAGTCCAGGCTGGCCTCAAACTTGAAGCAGTCTTCCTGCCTCAGCCTCCCAAGTGCTGAGATTACGGGCATGCACCACCATGCCTGGCTATAGATTAGTTTCTTAAAACTGGAGAAATAGAAAACCTAAAAGTTATGCTCCTTTAACAGCACATGCGTATTGAACAAAATATAGAAAAACATGGTTAAAGGCCAAGCCAGAATAAAATTATCTGTTATATCTTCACTGCCTAGAATTAAACTAACATTTGATTATGTATTTCTAACAATTATGTATGCACATATAATATGCACATATAATAAACACAAAAATGAGATCATGATGTACATTTTATTTTATTTTTAAAAATTTTTTTTTTTTTTTTTTTTTTCTGGTACAGGGAATCGAACTCACGACCTTGCGCTTGCCAGGTGGGTGCTGTGCCGCTGAGCTAAATCCCCAGCCCCATGATGTACATTTTAAAATCTGTTCTTTTCACCTAGATTAGAAACATTACACCTGATATTAAATAATTGAATATATTTTAACTGTCTGCTTATTTCATTGTTGGCCTGTGACCTAGAAACCCCGCCCGTAGTTTCATTCAGTTCTGTTTTTGTGTATACATGTTATTTCTTTTTATATATACATGTTTTCTGTCCTTTGTCATTACAATGCTGTATTGAACACCTTTGTGTATGTATGAATCATTATGGGTCTACTTTGATTATTTTCAATTTTTTTTATTTATTTATTTTTGTCTTTTTTGAGACAGGGTCTCGCTATGCAGTCCAGGCTGGCCTTTGATACCTTGATTATTTTCAAGGTAGTTTCCTAAATGGCAAAGAATGTTACTGTATGTGTGTGTGTGTGTGTGTGTGTGTGTGTGTAGAGAGAGAGGGTCTATTTTTAATTTATGCATATGGTATTGTAATCTTGTTCTTTTCCTTTCAAAAAAATATAACATTATGTTTTTTGTAAAGATTATGTTCTTGTGGTTTTTAGGTACCAGTAGAGTTGCTTTTGATTATTGTTTTCTCTCTCTTATTTTTTTATACTGGTGATTGAACCTAGGACCTGGTGCCTGCTAGCCAAGCATCCTGCCACTGAGCTCTAGCTCCAGCCACTATTATTTTTTGGGGTAAAGTCTCCTTAACTTGCCCAAGGTGGCCTGGAATTTACAGTCCTCCTGCCTCAGCCTCCTGAGTAGCTAGGGTTACAAATGTGTGGCATCACACCTGGATACATGGTATTTCTAGGGTACATCTACTGAAATTTATTGATTTCTTTGTTAAATTGCTTCTAACTTCTCATAATAGAAATTATGGGACAATGAATATCCTTTATTTGGTGCACAGTCTGTATATGTCCCCTTAAGAATCTGTGTGACAATTTCTGGAGTCTTTTTTACATATGGGTGGGGTTTCTGGGTCATAGGATCTTACTCGGTGCTTATTTTCACTGAGCATTATGTTTGTCTGACTTTTGTTACATATTATCTGTGTTGTGTGTCTTCCAAAAAATTCATACCAACCTGTGTTTCTACCGATGGGGATATAGAGTTCATAAAAGGTCTGTGCTAACTTGAAGTCCATTACCTCTTCTTTGTTTCTAGCAGCCATGGCAATGACAGGCTCAACACCTTGCTCATCCATGAGTAATCACACTAAGGAAAGAGTGACAATGACCAAAGTGACACTGGAGAATTTTTATAGCAACCTTATCGCTCAACATGAAGAACGAGAAATGAGGTAAGGAATTGTTTGAAAAAAGTATATCATAATTGTGGCATTTATGTCTAGTGTCGTAAAGCACACTCATAGTATTGTTGACAGGAGACCAAGTCCTGGCTGTGCTGTGGCCTACCCCCTGTCGTGGTGTGATTGTGTAACAGGTTTCTGAAAGGCTTCCACTTGGTGATAGACCTCAGTTTAGAATGTTGCCTGTGCCATTTAGTGCTGCATGATGCTCGAATTTGTTCCGTAGTCTTTTTGTGTGTTATATCCTACGTCATGACAATGGAGATAATACTATTTGAGTTGCAGGATTGCTGTGGGGTTAGATATAGCAAGTTAAAAGGTCACCGTAGTAATCATTTACCTGTTAGTCAGTTTTTTATTGCTGTAACAGAATCCCTGAGAAAAATAATTTTAAGGAGGAAAAATTGGTTTTGGCCCAAGGTTTCAATCCATGGTTGGCTGGAGCTGTCAGCTTGGGCCTGAGGTGAGGCAGAGCATCGTGGCAGTGGGAGTGTGTGACACAGGCTGCTGCTCAACTCAGGGCAGCCAGGAAGTGGAGAGAGACAGCCAGATGGGGCCAGAGACGAGATACAGTCCCCAGGGCTACACCCTGACGACTCCCTTCAGCTAGGTCCCGTCTTCCCAGTTTCTGTCACTTCCCAGTAATGCCTTCCAATTGACAGCCGTGTATGGATTACGCTACTGATGAAATGAAAACCCTTGTGATCCAGTCCCTTCCCAGAGTCCCACCTCTGAACACTGATGCATTGCAGACTCAGCCTCCAACATGTGACCCTTTTGGGGAGCATTTTAAGTCCAAACCCTACCATGTAGTTAATAGTAACAGTGACAGCTGTCGTTACTGCTGTTACTGATGTGATATACTCTCTGTGTAGTATGTCATTGTTAAAAATACTTTCTACAACATTTTATAATGTATTCATTTCTGTACTTCTGTATTCAGAAGTACAGAAAGGTTGAGGGAATTATACAGCGAGTACATTTATACATATCATCTAGATTCTGTAACAACCATTATATTGTGTATTTATTTTTATCACATATCTGTCATTCTACTCCTCTATCCATTCATTAAGCCATCTTAAGTTTTTGCCATACTTCAAAGTATGTTGCAGACATCAGTGTGCTTTATTTCTGAATGTTTCTGCTTAAATAACATTAACTAGAGTTCAATATTTATATGTATATTCTGGGGGTATAAAATTTACTTACCATGAAATGTGCAAGTTGAAAGGTACCATTTGATGAGTTTTGACAAAGGTTTACACCTGTGTAATTTAAAAATCCCATCAGATGTAAAACCTTACCATCCTCCCAAAGCTTTTCATGCCTCTTGGACCTCAACTTCAGGCAGCCACTGTTGGGATTTTGTTCCCACCACAGGTTAGTCTTGTCTCCTCCATGCACACTGAACATGTAAATGTTATACAGTAAGTACTCACACGAGTAAGGCATCTTTCAGCATAATGTTTTTGAGGTTCATTTGTGTCACTGTGTATCAATAGTTTGTTCCTTTTTATTGGTGAGTACCTTCTGTTTTCTGACGACCTCAGTATATTTTTCCATTCACCTGTTGATAAACATCTGGGTTCTTTTCAGTTTTGAGCTATTTTGAAGAAATTTCCATGAACATTCCTATACAAATGTTTTTGTAGGGCCGGGGATATAGCTCAGTGGCAAAAGCGCCTGCCCGGCAAGTGCAAGGTCCTGAGTTTGATTCCTGGTACCAAAAAATAAAAATAAAAAAACAAATTTTTTTGTGAACATTTATTCATTTCTCAATACCAGTAAGTAGAATTGCTAGATTATAAACATATATAGGTATATGTTACTTTTATTAGAATCTGGTAGACTGTTCTACTATATTACCAATAGTATATGAAAGTTCCAGTTGCTTTACATTTTTGCTAACATTTGTGTGGTCAGTATTTTAAATTCAGCTATTCAGGGGGATACTTCGTGGTATCTAAATATGGTTTTAGTATTTAATTTTCATTTCCTTGATGATTAGTGATATTAAACATTTTCATGTGTTTTTTTGGCCATTGTATATGTTCTTCCTTGAAGTATTCGTTGTTTTTTGTCAATTTGACTGATAAACCACCATTAAAAAATTAGTTATGTTTTTTCAGAGATGTCCTTTCTAGGTTAAGGAAGTTTTCTTCTATTACTGTTTGACTGAGAGTTTTTTATTTTGTTATTACTGTTTTTGTGGTACTAAAGATTGAACCCAGGGCCTTCACACTGAGCTGCATCCCCAGGTCTTTTTAATTTTTTTGAGACAGGATCTCACTAAATTGCCCAGGCTGTATTTGATTTTTTTTTTTTTTTTCCCCTGGTACTGGGAATCAAACTCGCGACCTTGCGCTTGCCAAGTAGGTGCTGTGCCACTGAGCTATATCCCCAGCCCTTAGAGGTTTTGGTTTTTTGGCTTTTTTTTTTTTTTTTGGTTCCAGGCTGTGTTTGAACTTGTAGTCCTTTTTCCTCAGCCTCCGAGAGTGTCTGGCTCAGCTTGGAGTTACTATTTGTTTGTTTATGAATGAGTGGAATTTTGTCAAAAAATTTTACTATATCTTTGAAATGATCACACTGTTTATTCTTTTTTTTTTTTTTTTTTTGCCTTTTTGAGACAGGGTTTCACTGTGCACTTCAGGTTGGCCGAGCTCACTTCATAGCTCATAGTTCGAGACCCAAGCTGGTCTCGAACTCACAACGATCCTCCTACCTCATCCTCCCGAGTGCTGGGATTGCAGGCATGCACCACCATGCCTGGTCCTTTATTTTTTTAATATGGTGAATTGCATGGACTAATTTTTAAATGTTAAACTAACCCTGCCTTCCTGGAATAAAACCCTCTTGGTTATAAGGTATGTTTATAGGTATGTATGTTGCAGGGTTTTTGTTTTTCTGGTTTTTTGTTGTTGTTGTTGTTTTTGTTTTTTTTTTTGAGACAGGGTCTTGCAGTGCAGTTCAGGCTGGGCTTAAGCTCACTTTGTAGCCTAGGCTGGCTTTGAACTTGCAGCAATCCTCCTGCCTCAGCCTCCTGAGTGCTGGGATTACAGGCATGTAACATTACTCTCAGATGTTGCTAGATTTAATGTGTTGTTTGGAAAACCTATTTTTCATGAAGGTATAAATCATAATTTACATGGAATGTATGGCTTGACTTTAAATATGCTGTTTTGTTTTGGTTTTTTTTGAGACAGGCTCTTGCTGTGCAACTCAGGCTAGCTTTGTACTCACTGTGTAGCCCAGGCTCGTCTGGAACTCACTGTGATCCTCCTGCCTCAGCCTCCCCAGTGCTGGGACTATAGGTGTGCGCCACCACACCTGGTCTAAACATGCAGTTGTATAAGTGGAATAGACAAGTATTTTACATCTGGTTGTGGCCAGCTGGTGTTCACGTAAGCAAACATGCGCCCTAAGTCCCGAATTAGGGAGAATTCAGAGATAAATTCGCATAGTATATAGCATGTGAAACCTGTTGGAAATACTGTCAAATGCAACCACTCTTTAATTCAGAGAGATTATAATTGTAATTATAAAGCAAACACTTATGGATTCTGACATAGATATTTTATTTCATAGTAGTCTGTTTGTTTTTATCCCTAGTTGTGGTTTGCTTTTTTTTTTTTTTTTTCGGTTTTTCTCCGGTACCGGGAACCGAACTCACGACCTTGCGCTTGCCAGGCAGGCGCTTTTGCCGCTGAGCTAAACCCCCAGCCCCGTGGTTTGCTTTTGATACATATATCACATTCTATAGGAACAAGATGATCTACAGTTTTGTTTACATTATTAATATATGTTATGTTGTGATACATACTAATATTGCACTCCTAAATAGGGCTAAGTTAACACTTTGTTTTGTTTTAAGGGTTCTAAGATGAAAAGGCTTTCCAAAAGCTGTTTTGCTCTTATTTACCTTGTGCTTCTGTGAGTGGAACCCTGAGCCCCTGAGCTACATCCTCAGTCCTTTTATTTTTACCCCTAAAAGACAAAATAAATGAAAAAACAGATGGTAAGAAAAGAATGGCCAGGCGAGGTGGCACATGACTGTAATCCCAGCACTCAGGAGCCTCAGGCAGAAGGATCGCTGGGAGTTCGAGGCCAACCTGGGGTACAAAGTGAGTTCAAGGCCAGTTTTAACTGCATAGCAAAACTTTGTCCCAAAAAGACAAAAAAAAAAAAAGTTTAGACATTTAAGAGAATAAAAATGTTCGTTAATTTTTGTCATTATTAATTTACTATTATATTTCATTAAAAAAGAAATAAAGAAATAATAGATACTTTGAGCCTTTAAAATCAGTATCAGTATCTGGGTGTGATGGTTCATGCCTGTAGTCCCAAAACTGCTGAGGAAGGAGGGTCACAAGTTCAAGCCCAACCCTGGTGACTTAGTGAGACCTGTCTCAAAATAGAAAATTTTAAAAAAAGGCTGGAGATGTAACTCATTACAAAGTCCCTGGGTTTAATCCCCAGTACTACAGAAAGGAAAACAAAACACAACAGCATTTCCTTGTAAATCTTTTTCATTTTGTACCCTCTATTTTGGATATGAGTTGATAGTTGGGTTTGGTTAGTTGATACCGTTTGATATGACTTTTAGGTTTTGTTATTGCTAGAAAATTGAAACAAAAAGTGGTGATTGGCAGGCAATACCTCAGCAAAAAGTAAACCAAACTTTAGATGTTGTGGTAAAGTATCATAGAATCTTGGTAAACAGAATTTTGGTTATATCAGACAACTGAAGATGAGAAAATATTTTATTATTGGTACATAGTAACCTACCTGGCAGTTTGAAATAATCTCTGTAATTTACATGCAGTTTATGCACTGTTCCATTTTAGCAGAGCACAAGATTGTGGTTTTTTTTGTTTGTTTGTTTGTTTTTGGGTACCGGAAATTGAATTCATGACCTCATGCTTGCCAGGCAGGCGCTGTGCCACTAAGCTAAATCCCCAGCCCCTGAGATTGTGTTTTAAAGAAAGAATTTACTGCATGGGGAGATGTATCCAAAGTCTGGAGATAGAAGAAAGACTGAAATATTTTGGGAGGTTATTTCCTGTATACAAGTAAAGTATGAGAATTTAGGGTGGTTTCATAGAAACACTATGGCAAGTTTCACAGATGTTTTACAAACATACCCACCTCCTCCAGCACAGTGTCCATCACACAGTGCCACAGAATGCTGCCTGATGTTCTGCTACATTCCTGGTCTTTCCAGCTGCCTAGAGGTTCCATTGTACCTTCAGCTTCATTCTCAACTTTAAGCATCACATTCTCAAGGGCTCTTGGTAGGTACTGTGTGACTCTGCCACACATTTTTGCCTGGCCTTCCAGGCCTTCTTTTGAAATCTGGGTGAAAGCCTCCATGACCCTATGCTCTTGCATTCTGCATGCTTGAAAAACCAGTACCATCTGGATGACACCAGGGTTTGCTGCCAGCTGAAGGAATAGTTTGGTCCCCTTGAAGCATGGCTGAGAAGCCGTGATTGCCATACCTAGATTGCTAAATTTGAGGGAAAACACATCCCTAGGTGATCCTGAATGAGTAGGATGCCCTGGGTTCTCTTTCAAAGCAAAGTCTTTCAAAGGAGTTTATCCTTTTACTTTTGTTGTTGTTGTTTTATTTTATTTTATTTTATTTTTGAACCTGCAGTAGGTGTGGTCTGGCTATTTCCTGAGATACTCTGGAAATGTCTTTCCTGTTGTCCTGATGTAAAGCACTTGACCTCTCTGAAATGCTGATCTTTTCAGCAGCCTCTCCTTGGTTCCAACTTTACAGGGGCTTTTTATCTGGCCCAGCTACAGTTTTTTTCAAATTCAGCTCTGTTTTGTGCTCCTAATTCTCATTGTAAATCCGGATAAAAGCAGACAGCAACACCCATGCTACAGCCTGAACATTGAGCTGTCTTGAAATTTTCTCCGCCAGATCGTTTAGTCTGCAGTTAGTCTGCTGTCTTCATATTCAGCCTCACACAGAATCTTTGGACATAAACAAAACTTAGATTGTCAGAATGTAACATGTCTAGTCCAACTGCCAGTGGAATCTTGTCCCCAAATGCACCCTCTTGAGCTTGACCTTTACTATCTGCATTCGCATCAGCATTCTGCTCTTCTGAGCTCTGGCCAGTGTCACCCATAAACCTCTACTTGAGGGACGCTAGGGGTTCTCTAGCCCATATCTCTAAACTCTTCCAAACTCCTGCAGCAAACCAGTTCCAGAGACTTCTGAACCACAAGATCACATGCCAACAACCCTGTTCCTAGTACCAGTTTTCTGTATTAATCACTTCCCAGTGCTGGAGCAAAATACCTGGGACCCACAATTTAAAGGAGGAGAGGGTTAATTTGGCTTACAGTTTTGAAGGATTCAGTCCATGGCGGCTGGCTTCTCAGCAGAGATGTCATGGTGGGAGGGAATGATGGAGAAAAGCTGCTCATCCCGTGGCAACCGGAGAGCAGAGGGAGAAGGGAGGAGCTGGGGACAAGAGTGCCCTTCCAGGTTATGCCCTCAGTGACCCACTTTCAAGTAAACCTACTTCTTAACAGCACTTGCAGTGATGTGCTCATCAGTGGATGAATGTGCTGATTGGTGTAGTCCCCCTACCTCCATGGTCCAGTCACTTTCCAACAGCCCCATCTCTGAGGATAGCAGACTTTGGGAAGCATTTTAGATTTGAACCCTAAAATTAGCTAACATGGCATTGCTACCAACAGTATGCCTATGAAGGGGCCTGCTTTTTTCTGTCTCATTATGAACATTTAAAAATAATCAGTAATATAGTGAGCCTGTCCCCAGTGTATTTATCCTTCAGGTTCAACCGTTGTTAAGACTTTGCTATATTTGCTTCATTTATCTCATCTTATTTGATTGATTGATTGATTGTAGTGCTAGGTATGGAACCCAGGAATGGGCTCTGAACTGCATCCCCAACCCTATTTTTTTTAATCTTAAAACAGGTTTTCATTAAGTTGTCTAAACTGGCCTGAAGCTTGTACTCTTCCTGTCTCAGTCTGTTGGGTAGCTAGAATTGTAGACATACACCACCAGGCTGGCTTCACTGTATTTTTTCTTGCTATTGTGTTTTAAAGTTAATTACAGAGCTATCATTTTACTTCAATAAACATCTCCAAAAATATGGCCATTTTCTCGCATAATCAAAATGTCAAGATGGTTCAAGCCATGTTCACAGTAGTTCCTTGATATCATCCCACAAAGGATGCCATTTTGAAACCCCATTTTAGGCTTGCTTGGTATTTTGGATGTTCTCATGGTCTTTGTAGACCAGATCCCAGCAAGTCATTGTTATAACAGATTTTTTTTTCTAGATACTTTATCTGACAGAATAATCTAATTGTATTTAAGGAGTTACTTTTTTTGGTTTGTTTTTGTTTTGTTTTGTTTTGTGGTACTGGGGATCAAACTCACAATCTTGCACTTGCCAGGCAGGCACTTATGCCACTGAGCTATATCCCTAGCCCCTAAGGAGTTATTTATGATAACTTTATTCCCAGGCAGGTGTTCTACTGAAACCAATTTAATTGCACATGCAGTAAAACTATGAGACCTCCAAGTTTTTATGTAGATTTGAAATAAAGTTATAAGGAGCCAGTTCTGGGACACTGGATACCATGTAAGATGTGTATCCCACCCTAGTGTAGTCAAACAATCAGAACAGTGGAGAGATACAGGATAGCACAGAAAAAAATTGACTGTAGTTACTATGTTCTGCTCTGACTTTCCTTACTCTCCCCAAATTCCCTGAGATGGAATTAGCGTCCTGAAAATATCAGTAGCACATTCTTCCTCCTTTAATACGTACACACACACAGATACATATCTCAAAATACTCTGGGAACTGGGTGAAGAGACATGGGGATGCTGGGAGCTATCTAGATGCTTTTCTCTTCCTATCAGGATCAGATGGATCCTTTTGCTTCATGAGAGTTTGGACATCAATTCTTACTCATTGCTTGGTCCTACAGATTTGTTCCGCGACTTCTAACAAAGAATTCATTTTAACAAAGTAGTGTTACCGTAATAGATATTCATGACCAAAACGGACTCATTTTCTTTCCGAGCTCCTCACTAGGTTTCCTATCTTGGTTAGTGGCAACATTTTCTCTCTGACAAGAAAATCGGAGACTTTTTTCCATGACTCCTACTGCCAGTTGGTCTTCTTTGCAATAGACTTCTTCATTTTATTCTGATTTTCCAGCCTGAGTACCACATCTTTACTGCACATTGGAATTAATAAAATAGGTTTTAATTGGCCTCATGTCTCTCAGTTATTTTCCTTGCTTGTTAGTCCATCAGATCCTCATTACCACGGGCTACTGTGATGAAATAGAAGTTTCACCAGGCGTGGTGGTACATGCCTGTAATCCCAGCACTTAGAAGCTGAGGCAGGACAATCACCATGAGTTCAAGGCCAGCCTGCACTACATAGCAAGACCCTGTCTTAAAAAAACAACCACCAAAAATTTCATCACCTCACCCCTTTGCATACAGGCTTCTGTTTGCTCCCAGTTGTCTTCATACTCAGTACCTGCACTGTGTATCAGCCCCACTAAGCTATATGCCCCTGCTCCAGCTGCCACACACACTTCTTCCCTTTATTTCGGATGCTGAGAAGCGATGGAGAGATTCCTGTCCATGTGCTTGCTTTTATTATGCTGAGTAAACAAAGGTTCTGTAAGGAAGTTTTACTTATTTCTTTGAAATTTATAAAATCAGGATGAGACCATAGATCAAAAATATTCTTAGATGGAAGGTGTGAGGGTATCTCAGTGGTAGGAGGCCCTGAGTTCAGTCCTTAGCACCAAAAAAAAAAAAAAAAAAAAAAAAGGTTTTGGGGGAATTTTTTTTTTTTTTTTTTTTTTTTCTTTTTTTGAGACAGGGTCTTCTATGGCGTTCAGACTGGCTTTGAGCTCACTTTGTAGCCGGGGCTAGTGTTGTACTCCCAACAATCCTCCTGCCTCAGCCTCCCAAGTGTTGGGATTGCAGGTGTGTGCCACCACGCCTGGCAATGCAGTTTCTAAACTTAAGGTTTAGTGTTCCTGAGATTTGGGGCGGGAAGTTTTTGTAGCGGTGCCAATCACCTTTTTTGATCCCCTCTCCCTAATCTCCACACTCTGCTGTTACCTCTGTTGTTTGTTACTGTTTGCTTTTGGCAAGGACGAAGACGAACATGAAAATGAAGAAGATTTCAGTCAGAGAGAAATACCTTGATAGAAGTTATCAGATACCACCTGTTGTGGGTTGGCAAGGAGAATATAACTGTGAGGGAGAGGTGGGGAAGGAAAGGGGAAAAGGTTCAGTTTTGAAACAAGATCTTTGTTGTATTAATTTATCTTTTGAAAATACAACATCTAGCGGAGGGTGGGAATCTTTTCACTTCTAGTACAGTAGGTAAAATTTTTTATTTGAATGAAACATTGTAGATTTGCCTGCCTTTGTCATTTTTTTCAAAACAAGTTGTTTGCCAGGTATGGGTCCTCATGCCTGTAATCCCACCACTCGGGAGGCTGAGGCAGGAGGATCACTGAGAGTTCCGGGCCAGCCTGGGCTACAAAGTGAGACCTTGTCTCAAAAAAATATTTTTTTTTAAAGTTACATTTGCATAGAAAGCAGACTTTTTTTCATATATTTTTCTCATTTGTTTTAGACAAAAGAAATTGGAAAAAGTGATGGAAGAAGAAGGCCTAAAAGATGAAGAGGTAATTAATACTGGAATTTTTTCTCTAGGAATATAGAATGTATGGCTGTCTTATCCATCAAGTTAATGTTGGTGTCCAGGGGAGGGGTTTTGGCTCAGATATGGAAGAATTTATGGGGTGATGTGCTTCTAAATTTGGGAGAATTATTGAGAGGAAGACTTCTCTAGGCACAGTTATAATCAGTTAGGTTTAGATTTCTAAGAAAAAGGATGAAATCAATCAAATTAAAATGTAAAAGAACAAGGGACAGTGTTCTTACACAGTTCATTAAGAAAGCTCCATAGAAGTGAGGCAAATTTCTGAAGTCATTGTGAAGGCGAAGACCTGCCTCACATCAGCCCTGCTGCCCACTGCCCGGAGGTGTGGAAGGAGAGAAGACTGCGAGCAGCTTGTGACGGCATGGAAAAGCATTAGCAGTAGGAGGGGTCACACAGAACCCTGTGACCTGTGGGCGACAAAGACAGAGTACTTGTAGGGATAATTAAAAGTTAAAACACGATGAGTTGCACTGTGTGGGAGAAAAACCAGGGAGAAAAAAAATGTGGGTTTATCCCCTTCCTTAGAAATGTTTGAGTAGTGGGCTGTGAAGTAAACTGGTTAGAGTGCTCAGAGGGGAACCCTTATTCAGTGTGGCTTGCTAGTTGTGTCTGAAGGCCAGGGAAGGGAGAAGCCACTCTTAATCATGGCCTGCTCTCCAGCTGGGCAGGACGTAAGTGACTTCCTTGCAGAGTCTCAGAATCTCAGCCCTTTCGCTTTGCTTCCCTCTTCTATTTAAACATTAGAAACGGCTCAGGAGATCAGCGCATGCTCGGAAGGAAACAGAATTTCTTCGTTTGAAAAGAACAAGACTTGGATTGGAAGATTTTGAGTCCTTAAAAGTCATAGGCAGAGGAGCGTTTGGTGAGGTAAAAACCACAGCTTATTTGTCAAGTACAAAAATACCACAGAACTTCAAAGTTCTAACATGTTGTAAGCTTATGATCGTTGGTATAAGCAACATATAGGGGGTTTTGTGGGTCAGGTGTGTGAGACCTACATGCTAACTGCCCTGTCTGGCCTCTCTTTCTTGCCCTCTTCACTGCCCAAGATCTCTGTTCTTTTCTGTTTTGCCAGGGATTATATTAGTGTTTTAAGTATTGATTTAGAGGTTTGAAATGTAGAAGGAAGTTATTCACATAGCATTTTTCCTTCCATAATTATGACAATAACTCATTGTATAGAGGATGAACTTAAAAATTGGGTGGTGTGTGTACTATCCCACTCTCATACAGCTGCTGGGTGCTGGGGGCAGAAGTTGAGCCCATGTCTTCTGAACTTAAAGCTCTTACTTCCCAGTATCACACTGCTTTTCCAGGAGTAAACAGAGTATCACCATCTGTCTTAGGTACTCTTCTCGTTGCTGAGACAAAATATCCAATCCCCAAAGTTAAAGGAGAAGGGCTGTTTAGCTCACAGTTTGCAGAGGTTTCAGTCCATAGTCGGCTGGCTCCAAGGCAGGGTGGTACAGGGCAAAGGGCAGCAGTTCATGGCAAAGCAACAAGTGAGAGAGGTGAGAGCAAGCCTCTTTCCATCCCTTATATCGAATGCAGGCTGCCAACCCTAGAGTGGGTATAGCACTCACACCCATAATCCCAGCCTTAGACCATGAGTTAATGACAAACTCTAAAAGCTGCCACCATGACTGCATGAGGCTTTGGGGGACATCTAGACACAAACCATACCACCATCCATTAGTTCTTCCCACCCAATTCATGCACCCTCTAAAAAGATGATCATGGGAAGCAGAATTTATAGAAAAGAATTACATAGATGAAGGTATAGAATTGAAAGCATTTTCAGTTTTGCTCCAGTTACTTTTTCTGGCCCTGAGAATTGAATCCAGGGCCTCAGGCATGTGAGGCAAGCATCATTCTGTCACTGAGATACATTCTCAGTGCTGTTTAAAATTTTATTATGATACAAGGTCTGGCTAAGTTGCCCAGGCTGGCCTTGAACTTGCCTCAGCCTTCTGAGTAGCTGAGATTATAGGCATGCACCACCAGGCTGAGCTAACAAATAAGTCCTGCTTAATCACAAGAGCAGCCTGCGGAGGTGGTTTAAATGAGCCCATGCAAAGTCATTCTTATTAATGGAAAACATCTAAAGTGAACAATCTACTGATATGATAGTTACATTAACTGACAGAGAGGAGGGCCATATTATTAAAACCAGTACCCAGAGGGAATTGTAATATTTCAAAGGCACGGGTAAAGATAAAATTGATTCCTCAGGGGTCAAAATTCCTGATGGCCCTTGAGAGAGGGGAAGTGCTCTTAAAAGCACTTCCAGCCCACTACAGTGGCGCATACCTATAATCCTAGCACTCCTCTGAGGGCTGAGACAGTAGGATTGCAAGTGGAGCCCAGCTTGAGAAATTTAAAGACTTAGCAAGACCCTGTTTCAAAAAATATGTATACTAATAAGTAAATATTTAAGAAAAGAAAAAGGGGCATAGATGTGAAGGTGCTGAGTTCATTCCCCAGGATCCCAAAAAGGAAGAAAAGCTTTCTGTTCAAGGAGGAAGGGACGTAAGACATGATAGGAAAGCATGAACAAAGATACAGGGAAAATAAAACTTCCTTATCTTGGGAAAGAGGGGTGGATATACAAGAACCTACCAAGAAGTTTTGTTTGTAGACCATTGTTTTTTGTTTCATCATAGAATTGTCGGTTCTCTTTTAAAACTTTGTTAAATGTAGAAGAAAGAAAAACTGCCTGAAGCCTCATTTCCCTAAGTAAACGCTTTATAGAGTTTTTTTGTTTTAACTTCCAGACTTTTTTCTTCTATGTATGAGTTTTTACTTCTGTTGTTACAATTATTTACTTAGGGGGCTGGGGACTTAACTCAGTGGGCAAAAGCACCTGCCTGGCAAGTGCAAGGTCGTGAGTTCGGTTCCCGGTAACGGAGAAAAACCAAAAAAAAAACCAAAAAACAAAAAACAAAAAAACAATTATTTACTTAGGTTTTCTGAGCTGACTGGACAATACGTATGAGGGACTTAACTAGTCCATAAGAGTTTCAGAATAAAGTTTGAAACTGGGTTGGTCTGTTCAAGTAGGGGGCCAGCAGTATTGAGATATAGAGATATTTTGAGGATGTCTGTGGCATTAACACTGTTAAACATAATGTATTCATTTTGAAATTTTGAAAAATATTTTCTGCTTTTTTCTTCTAGTTGCTTATATTCAAACTGTAATACTTTCTCCATTTAAAATGTTACTTGTTAGGCCTTGGGCTCTATCCCCAGACTGCAAAAGAAAAAATTTTCTTATTATTAACACATTAAGGCATTAACTTGGCAGTGTGAATTTTTGACTTGGGTTTGTCTTTGTTACTTTCTCGTTGCTGAGAGAAAATACCCAACACCCAGAGTTAAAGGAGGAGAGGCTTATTTAGCTCGCGGTTTGTTGGAGTTTCTGTCTATAGTCAGCTGGCTCCAAGGCAGGGTGGCTTGGCAGAGGGGCATCTCACAGGAGAAACAGTCCATGGCCAAGCAGGGCGGGCAGAAGGCAGCAAGCAGCAAGCTGTGGCAGCATCCCTCTTTTTGTCCTTTATATTCTAGCCAGGCTGCACGCCCTTAGGCTGGGTAGGACTCACATCCAGGACAGGCCTTCCCATTATCCACATCCAGGACTATGCATGCCAAACCAATTATTGGAGTGATGTAGGGATCACACACCCTTATCCAGCATCACACACTTAATCCTAGATCTAGCTGTGTCTGAAAGCCCCAGCTGTGACTGCGTGAGGCTTTGAGGGGACATCTAGATACAGCCATAATAGCATTTCTTTTATCACTTTCTAGGTGCGGCTTGTTCAGAAGAAAGATACAGGGCATGTATATGCAATGAAAATCCTCCGTAAAGCAGACATGCTTGAAAAAGAGCAGGTAAAGCAGAGTTGGAGCAGTGCTTTTAGTCAGCTTATGAATTTTTTGTCTCCCTAAACTGTTACTTTTGCTTAATGGAAATATGTGTTTTGTTACAGTTTTCTTTAGCTGTTATGTATAGTTATACATATAATACTGCTTTTTCCCCTACAAAGAATCAGTTACCTATTTAAAAATACAAATAATGCCTATAGGTTATGTACATTCTTTTTAAAGTTGAAAACCTATTAAAGAAGCCACTGCTATTTTAATTTCCCAGTTGATCACAAGATGTCCTTGTCATGAGAACCCTTTTTGGAGGTCATAATTGCTGTTGTAATATGTTTCTAGTCAAATTCTGAGAAACAGAAATTGTATATATATCTTGGAGCTGAGGAGTAGGAATTACAGTTAGGAATTTACAACATAAAATATATTTTAATATGCCTCACTATACATAAAGTCAAAGTTAGGTCTTCTGAATAGCCTATTACTGCCTGAGAGAGGCCACTCTTCCAGTTTCTGAATGAGTTTGAAAAATATGATGCAAATGTCGAAATACAAATTCCTCTTTAATGATTAAGAATACTTTCTAGGGGCCGAGGATGTAGCTCACTGGTAGAGCACTTAACTAACATGCTTGAGGCCTGGTTTTGATCCCTGGCAGTCATTCCCCCACCAAAAAAAGAAAACTTTCTGAAACCTGAACTTTGCAACTAGATTTGTGAGATACATAAGTATTTTATGAAAAATAAATGATAGCATGTATGGACAGTATTTTTTTTTTTTAAGTGAGAATGCAGCCATTCTATAAATCTGGTTTAATTTAGCTTAAGAACAGATTGCAAGCCAGGCGTCATAATCCCAGGACTCAGGAAGCTGAGGCAGGGGGATCGTTACGAGTTCGAGACCAACCTGGGGGTACAAAGTGAGCTCAAGGCCAGCCTGAACTGCATAGCGAGACCTTGTCTTAAAAAAACAAAAAGACTGCCTGGCAAGCACAAGGTTGTGAGTTTGATTCCCGGTACCGGAAGAAAACAAAACAAAAAAACCCCCAAAAAACAAAAAGAACAGATTGCAACAAGTGATGACTCAAGTTCTCTACAAAAAGTCTGATGTACAGGAGCACAGAGACCTCATGGCAGGGAGAGTTCCTCCACTGAGCTAAGGGCAAGGATGGAGACTGGCCCCACATCCTGTTCTCTCTGCCTCCTGAGAGGAAGGATAGTCACGGAGTCTTCTCTGCCTTCGTGTAAATGCCACCTCAAAACATGGGCATTTTATTTTTTCTTTCATTTTTATGTGTTACCCAGAAGTCCCAGGCACTCAGAAATTTCTGTTGCGAGTATGTATCAAATCCTTGGTAATAAGTCTTCAGACACTATAATTCAAGCTAATACCAACTTTTGCAAGATGCACTGTAACCCTCTTTGTACATTCCTGGAAATTAGTGTATAGTATGGGTGTGTAGGCGTTGAAAGAGTATTAATTATTCTTGAGAAGGAAAGTATAAAGTTTCTATGTTGACTGGTCTTTATATTTACATTGCCTGAATAAATTTTACTTTTACAAGGTGTATTTCCTAGTTGTGACAAAGGCCCAAAACTGATAGCCGGTAATTAGCAGTTGGAAGAAAGTTGTAAAGTGCTACACATATTAAGATTTTCAGAATTATTAATGCCACCTAGCATGTGCCCGCTGTCCAGCATCATAACAGATGATCCCAACATAGTAACTCATAAAAATCTTATCTCAAATGCTATACTTCTTCAAAATCAATTTCTAAAAGTTTTCTAAATGAAAAGAAAGGAAATAATTTGATTCCGGTACCGGGAATCAAACTCACAACCTTGTGCTTGCCAGTCGTGGTGGTGCACGCCTATAATCCCAGCACTCAGGGAGGTTGGTCCAGGAGGATCGATGCGAATTCAAGGTCAGCATGGGCTACAAAGTGAGTTCACGGCCAGCTTGAACTGAGAGAAAGATCCTGTCTTAAAAAGCAAAAAAAAAGAAAAAAATAAAGGAAATGTTTCTTCAGATTCGCATTTTGAATTCTGTATTAACCTATGCATTAAATGGTATACTAATGTAATTGTTTAGCTCCCCTACACTGATGGACTCAATTCCCTAGGTTTGATCTCTTATGGGCTAAAGTCTCTGGCCACAAGCTCTGTGTGGGCCAGTCGTCTTGCAGGAGCATGCAGCAGGTTTGCGCCCGGGGAAAGTTAGAAGTAGGCCAGTGCAGATCCTTTATTGATTTTTGGTAGAACTGACAAAGTTTATTATTTTTTATTTTTATTTTATTTTTTTATTTTTTTTTTTTTTTGAACTGACAGAGTTTAGATTCAGAGCCTAATTTTTTTTTACAGTTACAGGTTTTTTTGTCCAGAGGGAATATTGTTTTTTTGTTTACTTTTATTGAACTTCATAGGAATTAAAGCTACCCAATGAGCATTGAGGTTGTTATTCTGCCCCACAAGGTAGGAATTTCTGCTATCTGGAAAATTTGTGAAGGACAGTGCAGGAGCATTGTGCTGGTGTCAGATGTTGCTCTTCCAGTACGGGAGGCGAACCTGGGTTGTGATGCCAAGTGCAGTTACACTGGGGAAAAAGACTGGCTTTTAGCTTTGCTGCCTTAGTACAGACAGCAGCAGGCACCCTGCCCTGTTAAACACTTACGGAACACGGAAAGAGGCTCTTTTGGTGTGAGTGGCACTTCTGCCTCTTCCCCCTCTTCTCCTGTATTCCCCTGACTCCACTGTACATTTTGAGGCTCCTAGCTGCTATTTTAACCCCAGAAGAGAAGGGTAAGGTGCGCTTGCAGTGACTGTAGCTTTCTCCATGACAAACAGGAATGTTGCTGTCACCATTCTGTCCTCCAGGCCGAGTGACAGATGTTAATAGGAGCACCTCCCTTTTCCCTGGCTCCTGCAGTACGTAAGAGCCTTAGTGGGAGCCGGGGGAGCAGGCATGTGACATTGCCTTCTGTACAGTCTTAGTGTCTGGTGGTGACAGGGACAGTCTGGCTGCAGGGCTGCAGGTCAGTAGGTGGCATTCATTTCCCAAAAGCTTTTGTACCGAGGTCAAATAAGGGAGATGTTTTATTTATTTTTATGTTCTTGTGGTCTCATGCCACTGTGCTGTATCATCTTTATTGTATATTTGTTTTACCTCACACCATAAGTACAAATGTAAAAGTGTTTTCTGCATACTGAAACTATTACAGAATTTCCCAAAGAATAATTTTAGTAAAGACAGAAAACTCAAATATGTAAACTCAGTGTCTCCAGGCCCCCAAAAGTTAGCATGGAAGAGTGAGGCCAGATTGACGTAAGACAGGAGAGAGGGTGGCATCAGGGTCCAAATGGAAGAGTCACGCTAGGAGACACTTCAGTAAACGCGTGTGTGTAGCTTCATCTTTAGCAAAGCAACAGTGGGCTGACTTTGTCCACAGAAGTGCCCATTTGTGAATCTCAATGTATTTTTTACTTTGGAACATAGTCTAAACACTTCTGACAGGTAATATATATGAACACCAAACTTGTATTAAAGTCGTGGACTGGGTCTTAATAAATTTAGACTAGATCCAACCAACTTTGGCTATTGCAACTCTTTAAAAAAAAAAAGGAGGGGATAATATTTGATGATATACAGCAACGTTTTGGTTACTGTTGCATATTTAAAGTAAATGAGGTAAATTTGCTATTATAAGCATTATTTCAGCAAAGTAATTCTGTTAGTTCTTCCTAACCTTCTGCAACTTGATCTCCTTAGCTAGACATTTCAGTAAAAAGTGGAAAACTGGGAAGAAATGTCATTGTTTTAAATCTATAAATTTACTTTTGTGTTCTTATGTTTCAGTGCAGTAAGAATTGGTTGAGCATACTGTATGCCTAGCAGAGCACTAAATACTGTGGCACCATAGTATTCTAGAATGGTCACTGTCATTTTAGATAGCATTGCAGACCTGAAGTAGGACTTGTTTAAACGAGTCTCACTTTGAGGACTTGTTTTTATTATAAGAAATTGTTAGAACAAAGATATATGCAAAAGGGTGGTAATTTTAACTAAGAAGAATATAGCATGGTTAAAGTTACCATTTACAGTAAAGCCATTCATTTTGCAATTTTTATAGCCCTTTATCTGTCAAGTTTTTATCACCAAATGCCTTCAAGTCAAATGTCAATTTTGAGTTAGTGGGTGTGCCTAAGCAGGTCTTTTGGATCATCTCAGTACTCAAAGCAGTATTTAAATTGTTTAAGCAGATAAACAATCTAATAAAGCAGAGCAAGGCTTGTCATTAATCAAATGCATATACCTCCAGGTTGGCCACATTCGTGCGGAGCGTGACATTCTAGTGGAGGCAGACAGTTTGTGGGTTGTGAAAATGTTCTATAGTTTTCAGGATAAGCTAAACCTCTACCTAATCATGGAGTTCCTGCCTGGAGGTAATTACTTAACGATGAAAGGTCATTTTTCCTTTTTGTCCTGTGGTTTCTCTCTCTTATCAACAATTAACCCTTTCTACTTTTAATTGTGCTCACAAAGTTGCTTTCTGTATCTTTTTTAGGTCTGTGAAAGGAGGTCAGTAACCTGTCTTGTGCTGGGGTTGCCTTTCTCCAATTTTAGCAACCTTTTCATTCATTCTCATGATTTCAGAAGGACATTTCTCTCTTTTTCCTTTAAAAAGTGTAAGGATAAACTAGGGAGCTCTGCTTGCTTTCTTGCCCATGAGAATCACATATGGGTTATCCAAGTGACAAAATTGAAGCTATAACATTTTTTGCTCTAAGTTTTTTAGTTTCTTTTTCTAACTTAGGAAATAAATTTCTCATTACTTCTATTAGAAGCCAGAATCAATTTTTTATTTCTGAGATTTCAAGTTTTCTGTACCTCCACCTTTGCATCTCCTAAGACAGCTCCAGAGAAAATGCAGAACAGACTATACTCTCTGTTCTGGGGAACACAGTATTTCCCAGTGAGCAGGTAAACTGAGCAAACTCAGGTGGAGAATCACGGAAGACAACTTTTCCCTTTTTAGTTTTAGCAAAGCAAATACAGTTGTAGCATAATATATTGAACTTGTGGCAACCCTCACTTTAGATCCAGGGTCACCAAGAGCTTTTTGTTATCAGTTGATCAAGGTTAGAAGTGAGTCTGCATAGTAAAATGAGGAGAAACTCTCAAACATTCAGAAGCTAGTCCTTAAATAGGAGTAAGAGCTAGCTTGGTCACCAGCTCCTGACGTGTCTCCTGCACCATCTTCCGTAGCTTCTCGTGTACCCTGGACCTTGCCCTTTGCACTCCATGGAGCTGGCCTGCAGAGCCATAGACCATCTGGTTTGAGCTCTCCAGTGGTCTGGGCAACCTTCACATAGCTGAGGCCCTGGGTTGCGCTCCTGAGCCATGCCTGGAGGCCACGCGGCCGCCAGCCACCCAGCGTGGCCCTGAGGGCGCTGCCCCTCATCTGTGCTGCGCCTCTGGCTCAGGCTGCCGGTTGTGAGTAGAAGGCCTGTTTTTCAAGTCTTGTCCAAAAAGAGTAGCTAATAAATAGTTTAATTTTTGCCTGAGGGAAAATACATTTCTTCAAGAATACAGAAGCTAAAGTCATGAATTAAATGAAATTCAAAAAGTTGCATGATGCTCTATTAAGTCAGAGGTTTCTCTCTTCCCTGTCTTCTAACATAAACAGCTTTATGTGGGGTTTAAACTGAAGTCTTCTCTGTTTCTTATCACTTTAAACTACTCATATATATTTTCTTTGCTGCTTTTGTGTAATTGTTGAGTTTTAGGATTTGAATCTTCCTTTTGCTATTTTATGTTGTTGATATTAAGCTTTGACTTTGCAGAAAATAAAAAAGTTGTCATTTAACTGCTAAAAACTGACACTGTGTTTTTATAAGACATATAAATAATACTGACGTATACCTAAATATGTATAATAAGACATTACAGAAAACCCTACTGATTTTGAGACGTGTACCGTGTGCACTTTTGGGAGGCAGTTGTTACACATTCCAGTGTGTAGCATTTTCCACCTTCTGTGGAATAGTTTTTTTCTTCTTTTTCTTTTTTTTGTCTTTTTGAGACAGGGCTCACTGTGCAGTTCAGGCTGGCCTTGAGCTCACTTTGTAGCCCAGGCTGGCCTTGAATTTGCAGTGATCTTGCTTCTTATGCCTCCCGAGTGCTGGGATCACAGACCTGCGCCACCATGCCTGGCCTGTGGACTAATTCTTGGCTGCTTGAATCCCACCTTTCCAGTGATTTGTCTTCCCAGCGTTTTGTGAGCCGAAGAGGGCAAGCTCGTTTGCAGCCTTCCCAGCCCCTGACGTTTTTACGTGGCGTGCCAGTGCCTCTCCATAGTGGTGGGCAGTGCGGCCTGTGTGGGGATGCCATTTCCTTCTAGATGTGGAGAAGTTTGCTCATACCTGTGCAAAATGAAAAGTAAAGTAGGTTTTTTTCCGGTCTAAAAAATGATCCTGAGCAAATCTACTTTTTTATAAAAATAAGTGTGAGAGAAATTACCTTTTTCTCTCAGAAGTCAGATGGAAAGCCCAGTAAGTGGTCAGGTGCCGAGTTTAGGTGTGCAGATGCTTTGCTCTTGGTGGCTGTGATTTTTATCCTTGAAGTATTAGAAACTACTGCTTGCCATTTTCCTCCTATTGGCAGTGTTGGTAAATTTCTGGAACATAGCAGATTTCTGTTTAGCTGCCGAATGTTGGCAGATAGGGAAGAAATACCCGAAAACTGGCACTTAATCATGTCTTGTTTGTGTGTTACGTGTGTGTGCACGGGTGTGTGTGTGTCTCTGTGGATGTATGGTGGTGGCTTTGTATCCTTTTGCTTTCAGGGGACATGATGACCTTGTTGATGAAAAAAGATACTCTGACTGAAGAAGAGACTCAGTTTTATATAGCAGAAACGGTATTAGCCATAGACTCTATCCACCAGCTCGGATTCATCCACAGAGACATCAAACCGGACAACCTTCTGCTGGACAGCAAGGTATCCATGGGGTAGCAGTTTGAATTGTGTGTTTGCTAATCTGAGCTTCGGGGAACTGTTTTTCTGCCTGGTAGGTTTTTTTAAAAACAGGCAAATTTGTTGTTACTTCCTGTCTCTGAAAGGCTCGTGGTTGTTTTGATAGGGCATTTGTGAAACTATTCAAGAGCAAAATTGGTCTTGTCAGATTCCACCATGGTATACAGGGGCCAGGGCCAGAAAGTGCAGAAGGTGATGGTGCAGCCCATCAACCTCATCTTCAGATACTTGCAGAATAGATCCCGGATTCAGGTGTGGCTGTAGGAGCAAGTGAGTATGTGGATAGAGGGCTATGTTACTGGCTTTTAAAAATAACTTTAAAGAGAATAAAAAAAAAAAATAACAGCAACATAGACAAAAACAAAGCAAAACCAGTAAAAATGATACAAGCTTTCAAAACAAAATGATACTGGTTTTGATGAGTACATGAACTTTGTATTAGATAATGGAGAAGAAATTTATTCTAAAACAAAGTCAAGAAAACAAGTAGGATGGATCATGCTGACAGGAGATAATAGTATCTGCTACAAGTGTCTCCAACTAGAAGTGATCAATGAATTAAGACAGCAGTGAAGTGAGGCAGTGGCAGTTACGATAATGTGTAAGAAAAAGGCAGCCGATTGAGTGGTTTGCTCTGGGAGTATTTGTAAAACATTTGGTCATACTGTTTTGACTACCCTTATGTTTCTACTGGGGGCCAATAAATGTAGAGTTGTTTTTATTTAAAAAAAAAAAAACAGAATTGACTTAAAGGGTTACTTTGTCACAAGACCAAAGATAGTTGTCTTCTCATAGCATATAATTAACTATACTGCTAATGCATCACCTATCCAAACTCCCTGTTGAGCAGCCTCTGTGGAGCTAATGAGGAACTCAGACAAGAACCAGGAAGTAGGGCAGCAGCAAAAACAAAAACCTCCCACAAAGTCCAAGTTACTGATCACATGCCCTCTGAAATGGCCTGTTTATATTAATCTTTATATATGGAAATAGCTTAGTTTTAAAAATCAGAGTAAGTTAGAAAACAGCTCTCGTGCTACTAACTAAACTTTGAGTAACCTTGGGAAATCTCTTCACGTCTGGACCTTGCTGTTCTTAACTAGACAGAGAACATACTGATGTAGAAAAGCCCTGAAGTCCCTTAGTGCTAACATTCTAGAATCTTACATTATACACATTTTTTTGGTTTTTTTTTTGAGACAAGGTCTTGATAGGTAGTTCAAACTGCCCTTGAAGTCACTGTGCATCCCAGGCTGGTCTTAAACTTATGGTAGTCCTCCTGCCTCAGCCTCCCAAGTGCTGAGATGTGGAATTTTTGTCTTGACCGAATTTTTCTTCTAAGTAAAAAGTAAATTTAATCCCTACTATATTTTTCTTTCTTGTTATCTTTTGATAATTTTCTAGTTCTTTTTGGAAAACATGAATATTGCAATCACAAGGTAGTGAGTTTGATTCCCGGTACCGGGAAAAAACTAAAAAAAAAAAAGAAAAAGAAAACATGAATATTATTATTTTTTTGAAATACCTGAAGATTTTTGTCTTTCTTTGTTTCAAGAGGGCAGACTTATCAGATAATTTCTTCTGATTAGTAATTTTTCTCCTCAATGTAAAAATAATCATATATAACAGAGAATTTTAATACTTATTTATTTATTTATTTATTTATTGGTTTTTGCCCCCCCGCCCCGTAACAGGAATCGAACTCACGACCTTGCGCTTGCCAGGCAGGCGCTGTGCCACTGAGCTAAATCCCCAGCCCCTGTGAATTTGAATACTATGCAGTTATAAAGAAGAAAAATTGGGGCCAGGGATATAGCTCAGTGACAGAAGTGCAAGGTCCTGAGTTCGATTCCTGGTACCAAAAAGAAGAAGAAGAAATGTAATCTTTAATCTCGCCACTGAATGCTAAGCACTATTTTGTTCTCATAGCTTTGGGACCTTTCTCTTTCTGTCAACAACTTATGTAAAGTTAGCATCTAAGTAGCTTAGTGCCTATGCTGTGGAAACTTTGAGGAAGTTAAAATATTATTTTGAATTCAATTCCCCGGTACTAAAAAAAAAAAAAGTAAATAGCTTGATATTCTGCTTGGTTTTTGTTTATTTATTTTTGCTTTTGCCATGTTAGGGATTGAACCCAGGATCTCATACATACTAGGCAAGTACTGTACCACTGAACTACTTCCTTAGCCCTGTATTCTGCTTTTAAAACATTAGTGCTGTGTATAAGACCTTTCCTATGCTAGTAAGTTCACATATATTTTTAGTAAGCACCGGCCTGCCTTGTATGGTTTTGAGTTCAGATGCCCAGGTACCTTAGTGCTGGCTTAGTTGTAGTCTTTGTTTAGGTTCATGAGACATATTCCATGGAGGCCAGGGCTTTGAGAACCTCGTCTGGCTAGAGAGGAGTGAATATCCTGCTAGGGACAGATTTGCCTTCTATAGTATGCTAGCTCAGACCTGTAGTAAAGTGTTCTCACTAGCAAGTCCTTTTATATGTTCAGCCTCATATATTGTAGATATGAAAATGCAGAAGTGTTGAGTTTCTGCTGTGTACTCAGAAGAGCTGTAGAATTCTCTGACAGTCTAGGCTTGAATAACATTTGCCCTAGGCACTACTTGTAAGGCAGCTCCTTTCCGCAGCAAAACGTATAATTTTGAGAACTATAAATTAAAATTCTGTTTCCTGGCTTATAGGAGAAGTTATTTGCCAATCAGAAAAAAGATACTGAGTGGGCTCAAAGCTGTCCTTGTATAGCAGTTTACCTGCTGTGCTACACACACACACACACACACACACACACACACACACACACACACACACAAATCCAAAAGGATTTCCTTAAAAAAACAAAACATAAAACCTGACCCATCTGAACAGGTTCCTTTTGGCCTTGTCCCTTGGAAATTTGTATGTTCAACCCTAGGAATGCCCCAGAGGATGGTGGCATTGTGGAAAGACCACATTGAAGTCGTTGAGGCTCAAACCTTGGCCGCTGTACTTCGGATTGATCTTGAGCAGGTGTCACCCCAGAGCATCAGGATTTCCTCCTCTGCTTTTGTTTCACTTCTTCCATGTACTGAAAATTCCACCACCCCAAGAATACACACTTCTTTTATAGGGCTAGTTATGTGCCAGCCATTGTGTTAGGAGCCAGACATGCATCAGTTCTCATTTCTGCCAGAAGGAGGTCATTACTCCCATTTTCCCAGTGAGATAAGAGGGAGGTTGAAGAAGTAACTCTGCAGTGTTACCCTTCCTCTTTTGAGCAGTTTACTCCCTAGAATTTGTTCCAGTGAGACTTAAGAGGAGAAAAATCTATATGAACAAGATTTGTTCCTTTACTTGTTTTTAATAATCATTTATTCAGGGCATCCTGTGTATCATGCACAGTTGGAATTGGGGGTACAGACCCCGTCTGTCGAGGGTACTTACGATCCATGTTACATGAAAGCAAAGAATTGAAAATAGTGTTAAGAATTCAGTATGGCTAAATAAATAATAATGTGCTAAAAGTCAGTGGACTATTATGTAGATATTAAAAATGGTAATTTTGAAGACCATATAGAAACAAAATAGATGATTGTTCTCATTAAAGTAGTACAGTTGTCTCTAGGTTCTGTGGAGTGTTCAGCTATGTTAAGAGGCCTATATTTAAACAGAACCAAAGATAACATGCAAAAATGAAAATCATTTTAATATAGTAGGACTTAGGGTGCTCTTTGAGAAGTTTATTGGCTGGGGATATAACTCAGTGGCACAAGTGTCTGCCTGGCAAGCGCATGATCCTGAGTTCACTTCCTAGTACAAAGAAAAGAGTTTATTATTACACATTTCCGTCTGTGATAAAAAAAAACAACAACAACAGTATCCTTAGGCTATAGAAATGTAATGGAGAGGGAAGGAGCAGAAGATGACGCTCTGTTCTATGTGGAAGCGTGTTCATCCGCTTACTGCCTGTTTTCTTCCTGTCCGTAGGGCCATGTGAAACTTTCTGACTTTGGCCTTTGCACAGGACTGAAGAAAGCACACAGGACAGAGTTCTATAGGAATCTGAACCATAGCCTCCCCAGTGATTTCAGTAAGTATCAGCAGTGTTCGCCTTCTGTTCCCAGGTGGGTGTGGAAGAGCTGCTTCTTGGCAGTCAGGTTACTAGGGACAGATGGGGGTGGTTCTCACAGCGTGGGTTTTTACAGAGGAATTGGTGTGTGTTGTCTCGTGAGACCCGGTGAGTTGCTGCCAAGTGTGTGAAGGCTGATGTTGAAGAGCGCTCTCCTTAGAGCGCTCCTGGAAGGTAGCTGTGGATGAATATGGGACTGGCAAGTGAAAGTTGTAGGGGAAAAGCCCGGCAACAGCTCCAGTCTAGATTTACGCCAGGTCCGCGATGGCGGGCCTAGAGACCAAATACCAAGGTGCAGCTGAAAACCCACTTACCGCAAAGTGCCAGCACTCCAATTAAACCTCAATACTGTGGTTTCAGTTTAGAAAAACAACTCATACATAAACATCTTTTGTTCTAAAAGAAAAATATCACGTGCATGCCAGAGGTTTATCACCACTGTCCCAGGTGCTTCCTTGTGTCGTGGTAGAAAGAAATCTACCTTTATGAGAAATTCACCTTCTTCTTCAGCACCATCAAAGCATTGAACACAATGTAATAAAAGCACAATTCAAACTGGGCATGGTGGCACACGCCTGTAATCCCAGCACTCGGGAGGCTGAGGCAGGAAGAGGGTTGCAAGTTTAAGACCAGCTTGGGGTACAAAGTGAGCTCAAGGCCAGTCTGAGCTGCATAGCGAGACCCTGTCTCAAAAAGGCAAAAACAAAACAAAGCAAAACAAAACACAGTTTATTCTGGAAAAGCTTATGTCAAATAGTGTAGCCCAAATTCAGAAGTCCTGGAATATGTAACAATTGCTAATCTTACAATTTTGATGATAATTTTGAGAAATTAATGTTTTACGTCTATTTCAAGAATTTTGCTTCTGTTGAGACCAAACTTCCTGTAATTCTTAACTGTGTTCTCCGGCCATTTGATCCACGTGAAAGTGCTGTTTGCAGCCTTCACTGTGTAGTTTCTTGTTGATGCTTGAGTCTCTGACTTGGCCTTGTAGAGTTACTGGGAAATTTGTCATCCGAAATTTTGAGTGTGTGGGGAGAAAAGCGAGACTTAAGATGTCAGTCACTTTCTCGTCAGTGGGATTCAGTATCCAGCCCTAACAAATGAAAGGAAGAGAGGTTTATTTTCGCTCCTGTTTGTTAGAGGTTTCAGTCCATAGTCGGCCAGGTCCAGAGCAAAAGTGTGTGGGAGGACCTGCCTCGCCGCACAGCAGAGCTGCTCCTGTCATGGTCGCGGGAAGCAGTGAGGAGAGGAGCCAGGGCGGGAGATTGCAGGATCTGTCACCAGTAAGGACAGTCAGCGGTAGCGCCTGCTGGTCCGGTCACCTTCCGCAGCCCACACGGCTTTGGGGGACATCTAGACAGAAACTATAACTTAGGGTTTCGTGCGACTTAAACCAGCACCCTCCAAAGCAGTGAATAATCCTGTCCGAATTTTGATTAGAACTTGTATTCTCTACTTTCAGCTTTTCAGAACATGAATTCCAAAAGGAAAGCAGAAACCTGGAAAAGAAACAGACGTCAGCTAGTAAGTAGTGTCTGTGGCTTCTGAAATGCCACAACAAAGTGCGAATAAATTCAGAAAGAAGTGCATAAATTTGCATTTAATGCATATTTGTAGCATATCCCTTGCTTGTAAAGTTCCCTAATAGACCCCTGTCATGTTGGTAGCACCAAAAGGAATCTTTTGAAGGAGAGCAGGTAATAGTAGGTTGCTTTGACTATGACGTTTTCAATGAGTAGCCTTGTTCTGCTCTTTTAGGTTGGTAATACTCAGTGCCTTTCCTTACTCTTCCACCTTTCTTGCCAAAGGATTTATATTTAAGCTGGAAATCACTCAAATTTTGATCCATTTAGGCAAGATTCTTCAATTTATCTGCTTACCTTTTCTTACTTCATGGTTAAAAAAAGTACCTGGTAATCAAAATTATAATACAAAGGAAATTATTTTAAATGTATTTGAGTTTTTACACATATAAAATTATGCCCTAGCCATAAAAATAAGTAGCTTTATTGCATTTATCTTGATAGTACGTTGGATTTTTTTTTTCTTTGTCTTTTTGAGATAGGATTTCCCTGTGCAGTTCAGTAGTAACTCACTTTGTAGCCCAGGCTGTCCTTGAACTCACAGCATCCTCCTGCCTCAGCCTCCTGGGATTACAGGTGCCACCATGCCCAGCTGTTGGAAGTTATTTAAATAATATAAATTAACCAGTATAAAATGTTACTGTGGAAAAAAAAATGGTACTGTGTAGGAAAAATTTATATTTAACTATATAGCTGATTAATAGGTTCATGAAATACATCTTAGGTGTGTATGTACAATGGTACCTTGCGGGTTGCCAGATAGGGTGTGTTTCAGCCAGGCTACTTAGTAAAGTACGAATTAGACTTTTCTATAGAACCTTTCGTAACTAATTTAATGAGTTACTAGTAAGTAGATTCAGTCCTATGTGAAAAGGGAAGCCTGTGGTATTAAGAAAGAATCAAATCAGGCATGGTGGTATACACTTGTAATCCTAGCACTCAGGAGGCTGAGGTAGGAGGATCTTGAGTTTGGGGTCAACCTGAAACACACAGTGAGACCTTTTTTTTTTTTTTTTTTGTCTTTTTGAGATAGGGTTTTGCTATGCAGTTCAGGCTGGCCTTGAACTCACTTTGTAGCCCAGGCTGGTGTAGAACTCAAAGTGATCCTCCTGCCTCAGCCTCCTGAGTGCTGGGATTACAGGTGTGCTTAACCATGCCCTGCCAAGACCCTGTCTTGACTGAAAAAGAAAGGAAGGAGAGAAGGGAGAAAGGGAGGGAAGAAAAGAAAGAAGGGAAAGAAAGAAGTAAGAAATGGAGGGAAGGAGGGGAAAGGAAGGGGTTGCGTTGTTTTGATTAAAGTTTATCAGTGGAACCTCACGTGTTACGATTTTATGTTATATCTTCGGAGATGCAGTAAGTGAAATGAACCTTAGATGTTTTTCTAGTATTAACTTGGGGATACTTGAGTTTAGTACAGTTAATTTCAACACAGTCTCTGTTCCTTGTGAGTCAGGATATTCTTTAAAAGTCTAAATTCTGTTTGTGGTTGAAAAACTGTTTACATAGGCCAGGCGTGGTGACGCACACCTGTAATCCCGGCACTTTGGATCTTGCCAGTCTGCTCCTGACACTCCCTAATCTCTGCAGTAACCTGTGTAAAGTTTTTTATTTGTTTGTCTTTTTTTGAGACAGGGTTTTGCTCTACAGTTCAGGCTAGCCTTGAACTCACAGTGTAGCTCAGGCTGGCCTCAGACTTGCAGGAATCATCCCCCTTCATCCTCCCGAGTGCTGGGATTACAGACATGGCCACCACACCTGGCACTTTCATTATCTCTTTCCGTGACTGCGTACCAGAGTCACTTCAGGAACCTCAGAACATGCTGGTACCCGGCTCCCTCCCGTGGGGACTCTGATGCAGCATCTGAGGTTTAAAAGACTAGGTGATCCTACTATGCAGTAAATGTGTCCATCTGTCCCTGAAAAAAACTGTCTTAAATGATAGCGCCTGCCTTTTGAGAAACTGGTATTTAACTCTAAAATGTTTTGGAAGCTACCAAATGATAAAGAATCTTCTGAGATTTTGGTGCTACTGAATGCTGGACCCAGGGCCTCGTACCTGCTAGCCAAGTGCTCTGCCGCTGAGCTAGACCCGCAGTCCTTTTCTCTTTTTTGAAAGCAGGTCAAAACTTAATTTTTGGTTACTGTGCTGACATTATTGTGGAGGTGATTAAGTTTAAGCGCTTTGAACTGTCCCTGTACTCTGAGTCAAACTTTGTGCTTTTTGATTTGCACCAGAGGGTCATGTCAGCTTCACTAGGAACCATTAATAGTTCCTTATAAAACTAGGTTTTTTTAAGTGCTTTTTGAAAATTGAGTAAATTTAAGTCCCTGATGCAATGATGAAGGTTCTTGCCTTTTCCAGTAGAAATGGCAAAGTGTGAATTCAGGTCACTCTCGCGTTACCTGTCTTCATAACTTGAAGACAATAAAGCCACCTCTTAGTCTTCCAAATGTGACTTCCTTTGACTTTTGGAAGTGATCCCCTTTGGCCCGCACCAGGCTGAAGGGGGATACTTGTCAATGCTTAGTGCAAATGTCCTGCTGCTCTAGCTTGCGCCTAATAACAGTATGTAATTCCTGCCCCAGCCTGTTGCTTTCAAGTCCTTTGGGAGTCACTGGAAAAAGCAGAAGCTTGAACTTTGCTCCCTGGCTGCCTAGATTGTACTGTAATGTTTTAAATTACGATTCGGTCGTGGGTAGTCTTAGAGCCTGGTACCTCATTAAGGAAGAGGTGAGTCAGCTTGCAATTATTAAACCACAGAGGTAAGAGGTAGTACATGATCTTTGTCAGTTTATTTTTTAAGGTAGAATTTATGGACATAGATGAGTAGGAAATGAAGTCGTTTTATTTCCTGTGAAACTCTTAAAATGAAGTCCTAAGATTTAGAACACTTGATGTGGTTGACATGACCTTTTCCAGCCAGTAGAGCTCTGCTAGATTTCAGCACTAACCAACACTCCAGGAAGACAACGAAACAAAGGAGGGTGTAGATGTAAGAGGCTGGAGTTGGAGGACACCTCAGTGTGGAAAACGGACAGGTTAGAGAAGGAGTGGTCCCTGGATTGAGAAGGCTCCGTCTCGTACACGCTGCGGAACATAAGGCAAGCTGTCGTAGCAGCTCTAGTTCCAGAGTGAGAACATTGCTCCGAACCTTCACAGGTTTGAACCTTTGGTTGGCTGTGTTTTATTAGTATGTGTTTGCAGTATATAATTTTTACATTCCTTGGGTGGAGTTCGTACATGTACATCCATGAATTTTTTTTAACGTCTTAGTGTCCTGAATTGTTTCCCTGTGTCAATAGACCTCTAGTTGTATAATCTTTGATCAAGTAAGATTTACTTAATATTTATCTTTGCCGGAATAAATCTAATCTCTAAATTAAAGGGTATCTATAATTTTTTTCCTTTATGATTAGAATGAAAATACTTCTGATTTAGGGGGAGGCCCAGTCTGGCACAGACTTTAAAGCTTAAAAGACACAGAAGAAATAACATTTAAAAACCTATGAGCATTTATGTTATTTAATATTTGTATTTTAAAAGTAACATGTAAAAAATGCGTCCCTAATTTCACTGTGCATAAAAAGCAATGCTGGATGAAAAATAAAACTTTAAGAAGAAAATAAAGGCAGTATTTCTATGACCTCAGAGCAAAGCAAGATTTCTTAAAGCAGATACTCTCAGTACAAATCATAAAGGAAATGTTCTACTTATTTTAGTACTTTAAAGGGGTAAAAAGTCCCTGTATATCAAGATATAAACAAGTAAAAAGCCAAGCCAAATGGTACCAAAGCCCTGCAGTCCTGCCCCTGGTCCCACACTCGGGAGAATCCTGCATGCATGCACAGGAGACGTGGAGAAGACTGCTTAGCGCGTTTTATCTAATAGCAGAACTCTGAAAATAACTCACGGCTCATCCACAGGAAATAATTGAAAAACAGCTACAGGTAACTTTGTGGATCAGCTTTAGAAACAAGACTATGTGGGAATATCAAATAGCAGAAGCCTGCATATGGAATGATACTATCTCATAAAGCTTAAAAATAAGACTAAATAAGATCTCACTTAGAGATGTGGCAAGATTAACTTCGTATTTCAAAATGGGAATGATAAATATGAACTCAGCAGCGGCTAGGAGGTGAGGCAGGGTGGTGTGGGATAATCGCAGGCTTAATATTAATGATATTGGCATTTTGTTCTTTAGTTGACCGGCTGGGGGTGTAGCTCAGCGGCACAGCGCCTACCTGGCAAGTGTGAGGTCATGAGTTTGATTCCCGGTACCGGGAAAAAAAAATGTGTCACAGTGTTCTTTAGTTGAATTCATAGGTATTCGTTTCATTCTTATGCCTCATAATTTAATTATTACACATGTATATATGTGACATATTTTTGGTATGTGACAAATATGACTTCATTTCAAACACGATAATGAAAATAATATGCCTCAGACTGGAGGAAGATACTTGTAATATGTAAAAGTTACGGATTACTGTTCTGAATTCATAGAGTTCCTATAACTCAGTAAAACAGAGCTTTAAAAAAAATGGGCAAAGAATGGGAAAAGAAATTTACAGGAAAAATAAAAGACTAGGATGGTTAATTATACGAATACTTGTTCAGCCTTACTAGAAATAAAGGAAATGCAGATTAAAATCGTATTTCATTTTCGTCAAGTTGATAAAAATTTAAAAATCTGGCCCAGCTGAGTGTGGGAGAGAGGCAGAGCGCTCGGAGCTCTGCCCGCTGGGCTGGTTCCCGTAGGAGCAGCCGCTTCGGAGGACGCTTAAGGATGGCTCATTGTCAGGGTGCTTGTCAGCCACGACCAGCAGTCCGGCTCCAGCTGGGGGCTACCGCTGGGGTCTCGGTGAGCACCCCAGAGAGACTCTCACACAGTTCCCCGAATGTGTGTGCCCAGGCTGTCCCCGTGAGGCTCTGGAAGAAAGCCCAAATGTGTGTTTATAGAAAAGTGGGTAGGAAACAAGTGTGATTTATTTATATAACGGAAATGAGTGAACAAGGGCCACGTGGATAAGTCTCAAAACCATAATGCCAAGTAAAAAAAAAAAAAAAGAAGCACAATGCGGTATAGTATGAAACCTTTATTAAAGAATAACATATAGTTTATGAGCATATTCACACAAGATCAGCACAGCAATTTCTGTGTAGGTTTTACTTCGTAGGGAAGGGAGGAGGAGTATTTAAGGCAGAGCTTTGTTTCTATAATTTCACTTCTTTTAAAAGACAAACGATTAAGACAAGTATAGCAGATTATTTACCTCTAATGTGGGATGGTGTATGGGTGTTGCATTGTGGGGTTTTTTTCAGTATGTCTGTAACATTTCATAATAAATATTTTTTAAAAACAGCACAGCTGAAATTTTGATTTTTGACTATTTAAAGCATCTAGAATAGAGGCTACATATGATAAACCCTCAAATGTTATGCACATCAGACTGTATTTTCTAGAATTTTGCAGTCCAAGTATATTAGAGTAGAATACTGAAATTTAGAAACTGTTCCTCTAGTACCGGGCGTGGTGGCGCCCGCCTGTAATCCCAGCACTGGAGAGGTGGAGGCAAGAGGATTGCTGTGAGTTCGAGGCCGGCTTGGCTACAAAGTGAGACCCCGTCTCAAAAAAAAGAAAAGGACGATAGAAATTGTCCCTGTAGTAACTTTCTACAGAAATGAGTAAGTTTGGTAAATAGACATATACAAACATCTAACCTGTAGGATAGAACTTTAGCTTTTAGTAATAAACCTGTCTATATGGTTTTTTCAAGACAAAGAATATGTTGGAAAGGGATGATGTGGAGCAAGATATTTAATTCTCAAAGTGAACTCAGCCACTTACCTAGTGGAGGCCTTGGGCAAAGCTACTTGAAATGTCAAAAAATTTTGTGTTTGCAACATTGTATTCAGAAGGTCCTGTTATAGAAGTTTTCTCAGGACTGGGTAGGCTTATGTACACACAAGAAGTATGGCCTGGTTCTTAAGGGGTGTTCAGCAAGTGCTAGTTGTGATAAGATACCTTTGACCTGGTCACTGAATTATGAGCTTGGACCTATTTAGCAGTCTTTCAGCTTATTAACAAAGCTTTATTGTTCATTTTGGAAAATGCTCTGGCAAATCAATCTTGCATTAAACCACTGGGCCATCCTGCTTACTTAGTTTGGGGTAGCTCTTGGTAGTGCTTGTAGACTAGAACTCAGCACCACGCCTCCTGGCTGGGCCTCCCTGACGTGTGGTACGTGTTGCAGGCCTTCTCCACAGTAGGCACTCCTGACTACATTGCTCCTGAAGTGTTCATGCAGACCGGGTACAACAAGCTCTGTGATTGGTGGTCGCTTGGGGTGATCATGTATGAGATGCTCATTGGTAAGTTGCATGTTCCAGAGGACTGTGTGTGCATCCAGGGAAGACTTGTGTGTTGACATTAGGCTGTTTCAGTCAAGGGCAAGCTAGATGCTTTCCCCGCTTGTCTTTCTAAGTGAAGTTTCCTAGACAACTCTGTCAGTCCCGTGTATCCCACTGTTCATGTAATCTCAGCCTTCTGGCATCCCACGGCTCCTTTCCGATTGTGTATTATGTTCTTCTGTACTTTTATCCTCTCCATGTAGTAGTTTTTTCAGTCACTGGCCCTTACTGAACATCTGTTTTCTATTGGGTGATTGTAAACTACAGTGAGTATTAAAATTTTAAATTTTATTGCAGTAAAAAATCACATTGCCACTAATTCCCCCAAAATACTGCCCCCCCACTTCAAACATCCCATGTCTTGCCGCTTGCCGAAGCGGTTCCTGAAGCTCTTTGGGAGGTGTGATCAAAGGTACAGGGCATGCCGCTGTGCAGTGCCGTCCGGCAGAAAGGCAGGCTGTACACTCGGGCGTGTCCTCATCCACCTGAGGCCCTGGACCTGGCAACTTCTGCTTTCCCCAAAGGCAAAATAGCCAGGAAAGGTAGACAATCTGGAATCGATCCAGAAGGTCAAGACGGCCAGGGGCCCAACTAAAGATAGGGCAGAGCACGTCTACAGGGTTTTTTATTGCAGAAAGTGGCGAGAACAGTGCGGTAAGCGTGTTGGATGGGAGGGTCGTGTTTTGAGAGGAGCTAATGGCAGTGTGTCTTACTGTGATAAATTCCTTGGAACACTGTATGTTTAAATCACACCTCATGCAGAAAGCGTGGGTGTCGCCTCACTCTTTACATGTAGTTCACCGTCCGCTCCCCCGAAGCCTTCAAACAAGGGGCCTCTTGGCCTCTCCATCCTGTTTGAATGGTGTCTCTGAATGTAGGGGACACACCGGGGAAAGTCTGTACGGTGACCGGGCGCGGAGTCTTCAGTCGCCTTTCCTTGGGATCACTGCTGGGGGCCCGTGGAGGCGGGTGTGCCCTGTGTGGAGGGCTGGGCGGGCAACGGCATGTGAGTGTTTATCCTCCGGCCCGCACGTGTCAGAAAGTGGTGTGGCGTTCACTTTTGAAACCCACCTGTGCTTTCATTCAGCTTGTCATGGGACACTTCCAGAGTGGAGTCGTTTTGTCATGGTATCGTTTCATGCTTTCGTTCCTCCTTTGGGCACGGTGATTCCCGTACCTGCGTCTGTACATACGCTCTCTCCTCTTTCCCTGCCCCAGCTATTACTGTCTTCCTAGTGGCACCAGAGGAACGTCATCACTGGGTTTAGGAGTTTGGGGACCATGAGAAAGGCTTAGGTCTTTCTGGGATGAGTGGAAATCCTGTGTCATAGAGCAATGGACATACAGAGATAGTGAGTAGTCTTTGAAGACACACAACCATGTCGAGGAGAAACATCTCAGAGTTCCGGGATGTAAAAGCTTCGAAGTTCCTCTTTCATTACAGGCTATCCTCCTTTCTGTTCTGAGACCCCTCAAGAGACGTATAAGAAGGTGATGAACTGGAAAGAGACTTTGACTTTTCCTCCAGAAGTCCCCATCTCTGAGAAAGCCAAGGATCTCATTCTGAGGTATCAGAAACCATCCCCCCACCTACTGCTCAGAGTTTGTGACCGGAATGAATTTTTTTAAAATTTTCATTGTCTCCTGGTTGTGTCCCCTGCTTCCTCTTATTCTTCTCTTAGGAGAAAAAGAGGAAGAGGTCTTTATTTAAGAAACAATTTGAGGTATGATGTGTCTTTTCCAGATTCTGCTGTGAATGGGAACATAGAATTGGAGCCCCTGGAGTTGAGGAAATCAAAAATAATGCTTTTTTTGAAGGTGTTGACTGGGAACATATCAGGTATACCATGTAAAAATACTCAGAATTATTTCAGAAAGTTTGTGGTTTGCTTAATGCCAAATTAGAACCACTGTCCTTGGCAAGCTGAAAAAAAAGAAGGGAGAATACATCTCAGAAATTTGGGGTCTTTTCTGGATCGTCACTGACCGTGAAGGCCGGGAGCCAGGCTTCCGCCCAGCCACAGGCCACAGGCTCCGTTCCCAGGCGAAGCGGCCCGCGGGGTCCGTGCTGCAGGAGCATCTGGGAAGTGCGCGCGATGCTCGTCCCGACCTCTGCCAGCACTGAGGGCCACCAGCGGGACCGTCCCTGCCCGCGGGGCGGAGGCTGTTCCTGGGGGTAGAGAGGGGAGAGGGGAGAAGGATGGCAGGGGGTGCAGAAGGAAGGAGAGGGAAGAGTGTCCGCGGGCGGCCGGAGTGCAGCCAGTGGCCAGGAGCCCGGCCCCGCTCTAGTCCTAGCCCTGCTTGCTTAGCCCTCGTTGGGTGCTGAGCGCCAGTGAGGAAGTTGTCATTTCGTTTGATAACGTGTTCTGCTTGCAGCCTGGTCATTTTCACCTTTGCCGCCTCTTTTTGCCCTTGTGTTTGGTACCGCCAGTGGGAAAAGGGTAGAGCCTTACATGAGGGGACATTTAGAAGTTTTCCCCTTTTAGTAGACGGGGCAGGTCGTCAGGTATTTTTATTTTCCAAGTTTTAGTTTTGTGAGTACCGGTTTGCGGTACATGATGATTACATTCCTCGGGGTTGTTGCGCATGTGTAACGCATCTTAGGGATATTTCGGCTTCCTCTTTGTATTCCTTTTTCTCTAGCTATAAATGATTGGGTTACTCATTTTTTTTCATCATAACTAACTTTTTGGGTGTAGTCAGTTGGCGTGGCTGGTCATCATTCACAGGCTTCTCGAGAGAAAATAAGTGCTGCCGTGTCAGACCACAGCAGTCTTGCTGGAGAAAGATGTGAGTGGTGTGAGCGTACGAGCACTAACCGTGGCGATCTGTGGCATGTCTGTTGGCAGAGAGAGACCTGCTGTGATATCTATTGAGATCAAAAGCATTGATGATACTTCAAACTTCGATGAGTTCCCAGAATCTGATATTCTTAAGCCAACAGGTAATTCCACCAGCCTCGCCTCTGCTACGTTACAATCACGGTATCCCCCGCTTACCCCCACTTCCGGGATGATGTTCACAAATCAGGGTAGAGAGCTGAAGAGGAACTCCAGTTTTGCAAGTTCCTTCGAAGTGTTTTTCCAGTGCTAACTGCAGAGCAGTGAGGCTTTGTTTCAGACTTTCATGTTTAGACTGCTCAGCTCGGTGGGAAGGTTATGGAAACCTGTTTTTTGTTATTAATGTTAGGTAAACTGAAATGACAGGAGAGAAAAAATAAAACTTCAGTAATATTAGTGCAGAAGTACAAAGTTCAAAGGACATAGGCAAGCAAAGGTAGAAAACTCGGTGAAAATCCCTTTTGCAAATAAAACCTGCGGTGCGTTCTTGAGATTGTCGTGTCTTCCGTACCGAGCAGTCCGCTGGGGTGAGGCGGGGATCGGCTCTCACATCTGTTTCTTTCCCAGTGCCCACAAGTAACCACCCCGAGACCGACTACAAGAACAAAGACTGGGTCTTCATCAATTACACGTACAAGCGCTTCGAGGGCCTGACTGCCAGGGGCGCGATACCTTCCTACATGAAAGCGGCGAAATAGGACCCTTGCTGCGGAACCCTAAGCGGAGCGAGGTCTCTGTAACGTCGCGGTTCTCCTCTGTACTCTTTTCAAAGAGCCTCCAAGCAGTTCATGGCACCCATCATCCGTCAGCATCAGCAGTCTCCTGAAGAGTGGTAGTACGCAGGCTCTCTTCCATCACACATTTAAAAACTGTCAGAACAGTGACGACCATGTCTACGTCAGCCATAAACAGCTGTCTTGCTTCTTTAGAAGCGTCGTGAGCCAATCTGATAGGTATTTGAAAAAAGAATTTCAGTTTTCCCAAGTTTATCAGAATGAAGGGGAACAGCAGCCATCTTCCAAACTTACTGAGCTAACGTGTACTCGCCGAGTATCAGCCAGCCCTGCGATAGTCACGTGCTGCCTGCCAAGCCCACCAAGTATTTCTTCTGTATAGTTAAAGCTTCCACAGTACTGAGGAAATAAAGCAATAACGAGCCTCAGCAGCCAGCGTCCTGGCTGACGGGAATTACCAGCTGTCCCCGGGGGCGGGATGGTAGTTTCTCCCCATACCTCGGCTGGAGCAAGTGGCTTTTCACAGCCTCCGTTCATGGTGCACTTTATTTATGGTACTAAGGACACAGACCCTCAGTCCCCTGCTTAGCTCAACCTTCCCGCCCAGCCGGAAGACTCGCACTGCTCTTCGGAGTGTTGATGGGGGAGAGCAGTTCCCACAGGCCCAGAAAGCCACTGGGCATCGCCAAGGAGTCTGGATCGTGCGTGAACCCTCACTTCTCTCACGGCTCTACCGGAAAATCCCTAAGACCTCTGTTGTGGACCAGCAGTACCTGCCAGTGCGGCCGTAGGAACTCAGCTGGTTCCTGGGAACGCAGTAGGGGGAGCCCAGCCAGAAGCAGGGGCCTGGCCGCCTCTTCACTGAGATGCTACCCCTCAGGATCCCCAGGCCCTCCTGGGAATGGCTAGGGAAGAGGCCCCTCGGAGCGTGCACAGCCGGCAGTCCCTGGAAAGCACTCCTTGATCCCTGGTCGGCTGTGTTTTTTATCTCCCTTCTTGGTATTTGTCCTCCCCCAACTTTGAGTAGCCATTTTGCCTTGGAATCATGATTACAAAGTTTTCCTTTACAGATGCCTTCCTGGGGGAGCGCCCCCCCAGCCTAAAGGGTTGCCTGCAGCTTATGCTGACCAGGCATAAGCTGCTCTCGAGACCCTCTGAGTTTTATTTTAGCACAAGTGCCTTCTCTTTCACAGCTGCCACCTTTAGGGGACCTTTGCTGCATCAGGAAAATGTAGAGGTTGTTTTAAAAGCTCTTAAAGCATCATTTGCACCTGTGTGGGAACTGTGTTGCAGAGTATCATGGCGGGGCGGCACTAGGAGACTGCTTCCTGTTCCTCTTGAGGGAAAGTGAGCCCCAGCTTAACCATGCGGAAACACGGTATCAGTTACAGTTCTAAGTGAAACTGCTTTGGGTTCTAGTGTCTTAGATAAAAGAGTATTAGGGAAGGCTTGACTGGATAAACACAATGTGTTTGCCCCTTAATCTCTCATTCATAGCCTGTTAGTGAAAAGGAAATGAGATTTTTGTGTAACTTCACAGCCTTTGTAATTACCAAATAGCTGGGGTCCTGCCCCCGGTGTGTTTTGCAAGAGCGTGTGGTAAGCTTGGGTAGATAGGAAACGAGTAGTGGTAGTGGCTGTTGGGGCGTGGCAGGGGAAGGGCCCACATTTTAACTGTAAACTTATCAATAAACTTGGTGCAAACAGTAGTGTAAACCTGTGATGTTTTAAAGCAAAACGGCTTACAATTGGAAGCACCAAAATACTGGTGGCTTCTCTTAAGCCCTTGGCCCACGAACACCAGGTTGCAGCAGTGTCCTTATGTACGCAGGGTACTGTCCCTTCCAGGGAAGCTGGGTCCAGGCTGCACCGTCCACACTTACCGCTTTGGCTTCAAAGACCCTCTGACCTGACCTACTTGGATCCCTCCCCAGAACTCAGGATCCCTCGGCTACGTGCCTACTAGAAAACCCTCTGAAGGCCTTAGGCAAGCCGATCCGAAGTTACTCCTGTTCCCAAGGGCTTTTTCTAGTTTAGCCAACCCAGACATCCCAGCAGAAGCTCGGCCTTCATACATACAGGGCTTGCTTCAGTAGACACGACTGGGGCATGGCCATCCGCGCTGCCAGGGCCCCTGCATTAATCCTTAGTCCGCTGCAGGGATCTGCTCCTTTTCCTTTCAAGCCTGTCCCCCTCTGCTCCCAGAGAAATGCGAAATTTCAAGTTTGGCCCACCTTGACATAGAACCCTTTAGGGCCCCCACACTCTGCCCATGCGCCGTCCCACCCCCCAGGGATGAGCACTCGTGGATCTGTTGGCCTCCCCTCACAAGCCCAGAACTGGTTCGCATGTGACTTCTGGAAGCCTTTTGTGAAGCCCTCTACCTAGTGGAAAGTAGCTCCCCCATTCTTTGGGCTTCCTGAGTGACCTGGCCTACTCATGTCTCCCTGCTCCCATGATCGTAAAAGCTCCTTGAGAGCAGCTGCCAGCACACGGCTGCGCTGGGGAATACGCAGCACCAGTACCCTGCACAGGCCGTGTGTCTCCAGGGCAAGTTCCTCACGTGCTGGCGAAGCACTGCGCTGCAGTCCTGTCACCTTTAGGGATTCTGGGACAGGGCCTTGCTAAGTTGCCTGGGCTGGCCTTGAACATGTGATCCTCTTGGCTGAGTACCGTAATTCTGATTGTGCCCCGCCACGCTTGAAGCAGATTCTTTAACGTGACCGAAGCAACTCAAGCAAAGGCAGACATTCAGGCCCTGGGACATGTGAGCAGGCGAGCAGAGTGGGAGAAAAAAGTGCATGCTCAAAGGGAGGCCTGTACCTCCCTGGGGGAGGAAGCGACTCACTTCGCAATTTAATTTGCTGCTAAAAAAACAACAGACACACAAATAATAGTATTTTATTATAGAAAAAAGCATCCCAAATGTAGGATTTCGTAAACACTGGTCAGTGAACAAGTGCAACTTTAAAAGTAAATACAAGGTAAAGAGGCGACACCTGCAAGCACTTTGCCTTGAGGACAAGATGTGGCTCTCCTTCCCGCAAAGGCAATCCCACCCCCACGGCGCGCTCCGCCCCTACCAAGGCATCGCTTTGCTTTCTGAGCTATGTCCGTTTAAACATTCTAAGTGATGGCAAGAAGAGGCATTGAATCCTTACCAGAAACTGGATTTCTAAAAAAGACTTCACATTACACTTATGACCGAGTTAAAGCCTGTGCTCCGAGTATTTAAAGACCGACCCTTGGGAACACTAACTGAAAAGCCCACCCTTCCTGGGCGTAATTCATGGTACACTCATAGACCCGCAGACATTAAGTAACGTACTTGTCCTCAAGGTTCAGTTTAAAATAGTTTTGGCTCTCATACTGTGCGGGAAACCCGGCTACCTTCTATCTTCCTTATCCTTTTTGCTGTCATTCCAGCGTTTCTTCCACTTTGGAGAGACCATGAAATAACGTGACAAGCTTTACCACCGTCTCCTTGCTCCTGCACTGGCCGATGTTTCCTAACCAACTGTAAGATACGATGCAGACACAAACTCGATTCCAAACCTCAAATTCAGGGTCGTCTCGGCTTGCTGAGAAGCACAGAGACACTGCATAAACAGAAATGTATAAACAGCCCGGCTTACTTATTTAGGCACTTAGAAAAGACACCAGACCCAAGTTCCACATTTGCCTGTCTGGCCAGCAAGTGACTGTGAAGGGCATGACCGCAGCCTGGGCCTCATTCCCGCAGGGACTGACTGGCCACCAAGGTACAGTGGCGCTAAGGTCTAGGCAGGGGGTGGGGCGGGAGGGGAGTGCGGAAGAAACCTCCCCCGGAAGGAGCCTGTGGCCCCTTTTCACGTAGTCACCACCACCTGATGACACTTACAGATTAACTTCACAGATTTCCACATCCTCACACCCCACTGCTTGCGGGCAAAGAATTCAGAGGGTGGCGATGGTCCCTAGCTCTTAAAAGCCGGAGGAGAGTATCAGTTACACAGAACCAAGTGGCAAGTGTATGCCCTACTTACACAACTTTGTATCTAAGGAACAACTAACTCAAGTGTTAGCTACGGTATGTTTACACTTAAACGAGAAGTTTTTCACATCACCAACACAAATATCAGGTCCAGATCTCCTTTCCAGTGGCATGGAAGCCACGGAGAAGCGTAAAGGAAGCACCGTTACGGGGCCACCTGGGCAGGTCAGCTGCTGGTGCGTGTGGATGTGCTGGCTAGGCCGAGGGACACCTGACCTCAAACAGGAGCCACTTGGTTACAGGTAGCCCTCACCTTACCTGGCCGTCGGCCCCGGAGACGCCAGTGGCTGTCAGAACTCCAGGTGCCAGGTGGCTGTTTAAGTGCTTACTCTTTTTCCAGTAAAGAACACTCACTCCACTGTGCTGCTGGCCACAAGCACGGAGAAGTCCCCTCTGAACAACACTGCTAAGCCGGGCAGGGGCGCAGGCCTCTGAGCGCCGCTCTTGGGAGGTGGAGGCAGAAGGATGGCTGAGAGTTTCAGGCCCCCCCAAATTTCTTACTCCTCAAGCCAGGAAAAAGGGGTTCTTAACACGCCAACTTTATTTTTGGAGGAATCAAGTAGCTTGCCCTATGGCATCTTACAGGAAAGGAATTTAAGAAAACCAGTCGTATTCTTATGTGAAGGAACTGGAGGGAAACCATGTACCCATTCATAACCCACGAACGCTGTGGTGGGGCGACTCTGACCAGAAAGTGGGAGATAATTTGGGGCTCCAGATTGAGGTCTGCTGCTAACACCCAGAGATGTCCGGGGCAGGTGGGGTCGGAGGGGACGACCTGGACTGTCACCACCGCGCGGCAAGGCCTGCACCTGACTGCCCTTTGCCTTGCCCTGCCTCTGGGGACTACAGGCTCATTTTCTCAGCCAATGTGTGAGGAGTTACTGGGGTATTTTAAAAACTGAAATTCACTGACCTCTTCCAAACTCCCTGGTCTGAGAAGCACCCTGTGGAGAAGTCCTGCCCTGGGACAGTCTGCCCGGGATGTTTCCCACCCGGCTTCACTCCAAATGCCTCTCCTGCGTGCCCTTCTGAATCCCAGCCGCTGAGCACTGGTGGGGACGCTCTCCGCCCCTCGCAGGCTTTAAACCGCACGCCCGCGGGGCGCAGCAGCGCCGGCCAGGAGAGTGCGGCTGGCCTGCGCTGGCGTCTCTCCACATCAGTCAGCAATCATGAACCTTGGAGCCAGAAAGGTTTTATGAACGTCATTAAGTCATCCTTCCTGCCAGAGAACTTGCCTGGTGCCCGCCTTGTGTGGTTCTGGACTATTCACTGCACTCATGAGGAAACCGTTTCAGCGCTTGAGAGTTCCCTTTTGAGGTTCGAACGAGCCTGTTCTAGCTGCAGTCTGGGTACAAGGCCCCAGGACTGGCATTTCATGAACCTCTTGTGAGCATCTCAGGGCTGGCTTTTTTTTGTAAGAAAAGGGATTGTCTCTTTTTACGTTTGGTCCCTTTGCCCCTTACTATGCGTGTGCCTGATACAAAACAAAACAACAACAACAACAAAAAACCAGAGCAGAAAGGGTGACGAGGGCTGCTTGCTAAATACGAGGCAAGAGGAGGCCTGACCTCGCTTCCTGCCTCTGCAGTCACGCAGACTCAGTGAACAGCACCAGACCCCCAAATTTCCAAGTTCCCAGGGCTGCTCCTGAGCTGGCAGCCTGATTACCAGAGCGCTGCTTCACCCCCTGCCAGAGGCGCAGACTTACCAAAAAGGACACACGTTAACTACGGGAAGGCCAAAGGCAAGGGAGATGCATGTCAGGGTGAGCGCCCACTCAGAAGTGCTCTGGCGAGGGGTGGACCCATGATGGCCCTAATCCTGAAAGTCACTGGAAACCATCTGAGCAAGGGGGGCGTTCAGCCGGTCGAGCTCATCCACTTGGGGTGGGTGGTGCATTAGTATCTCCTGGTCCTCCAGGACGTCCTCGCCCGCAGCTACCAGGTTAGTAAGGGACTTGCTTCGGACACACTGGAAATCCACATGGCGACTCTTTCCTTCTTCCTTTTCCCATGACATCTGGATAAAGGGACGCTGCACGTAATTATAGATAACTTCAGACCGCCCGCCAGGTCTTCTCTTAATTTTCTCCTTACAGGTAGGGTAACCTGCAACGGAAAAAGGCTATTTTCGTGATTCAGGCAAACTGTGCCACTCTGCATGCACATTTTCTCCTTCCTCTCAAAAACAAAGGCAAAAGGGGATGGGGAGCCAGGGCCCAACATCACTTAAAGAACCCTGTCCGTCCGGACAGTTCCCAAAGGCCGAGGACAGTCTTAAGTTCTGACCCTCAAGCTGTACTTCCAGGAGACCCTTCCTGACCCAGAAATCCTCACCAAGACCGCTGCTGGCCACACTACGCTTCTCCTGGGTGAAGCCCGAGACCTGTAATCTACCCACCAGCCCTCTGCCCTCGCTGCTCTTTATCCTGACAGAGTAAACTCGAACCTAAAAGCATTTCCAACTGTAGCAAGAGGGCAGGAAATGGAAAAAACAAACAAACAGAAACCCTTCCGTGAGAAGTAGAGTTTTCATGTGCGCCTATTCTCCAGGCGCATGGAAGCTCAATTCTGAAGTCCTGCGCCGTGGCCACAGATACAACCTACTGCAGTGTGTAATCTGAAAATGACTGCGATGATTTTTTACCTTCAATCCCAATGCGAATGTTCTTTAGGCCCCGTTCCTTTAACACTGTTTTAGCGACATCGCGATTCTCGATATATTTGAAAAATCGGTAGAGCTTGGAGCTATAAAGAACTGAAACAAAATAAAGCAAAATCAAACCTCGGAGTTAGTCACAAAGACCTCTGTAACACGAGCTAAGAGAATCAAACTATCACAGGGCACCTGACCACTGATGCTGAGAGAATCCAGATGGGTCAAAGATTAAATGTTCAATAATAGGGGCTGGGGATTTAGCTCAGCGGCAAAAGCGCCTGCCTGGCAAGCGCAAGGTCGTGAGTTCGGTTCCTGGTACCGGAGAAAAACCAAAAAAAAAAAAATAAATAAATAAAAAAAAATGTTCAATAATAGAACCATGTGAAAGAAATTTTTATATTCTCAGAGTAGGACTTTCTGAGTATGACATAAAATCCAGAAGCCATAAAAGAAAAAAAAAATTACAGCATCTGCACATAGCCAAAACCACCATTAACAAAGCTGAATGGACAACCAAATAAGGCAAGTATTTGCTACTCATTTTACAATGTTGGTTTTTGTCTTTTTCAAAAAGGGTCTCATTATGTAGTTCAGCAAAGAAACTTTTTGGCATTATAAAAAGTTAAAAAAGCCTCACTCACGAAATAAGTGCAAATTAAAACTATAGAGATCGTGAGATGCTATTTTTCAAACTATTAAGAGAGTGGCTAAGATAAAAGTTTTTCAAACACTGGTGAGAGCGTGGGAAATCAACGTATTACATATTGTTCCGCGACTGCAAGGAGGATAATTTGACAATGGCTATCAAAGTTATAAAAGCAAAAGGCCTTTGACTTTCCATCTTCCACTTCTAGGAATACCCTATAGGGATACGTATGTGAAAGGACTGCTTAGAAAGATATTTACATGCATTATTTATAATTCACAGCCTAACTCTCTAACAGGGCTGGTTAAATCTACTAGGGCACATTGGTGCAATGGGCTACCATGTAGCCGTAAAAAAGTGACACATGGTATAGAACAGTCTGAATAAGGGAAAAGTAAGTATGTAGCTATTCATGTATGTGGAATATACTTGGAAGGCTACCAAAGAAACTGAGGAGGAAGAAGGGATGAGGCAAGGTTGTTACAAGCCTCTTAAATGCAAATCCTTTTACAGAAGAACTCCGAGTTTTGAACTGAGACCAGTTTGAAAGGACTGAAAATGAAAGGACAGGAGAACAGCACCATTTGGCGCTGGCTCTGAGTCTGGCAGGACCACGCATGGGGCTGGAGGGAGAGGTATCAAGTACAGGCAGTGTCCCTAGCACAGCGGTCAGCCTCCCAGGGAGCGCCCTCACTGCCGCCCCCGCGGTGAGTCACCCCGGCCCTAGGAGCCAGCAGCTGCTGTGGGCAGCGCTTTTCTTGTGGAAAACATCTACACCCTGCAGGAGCTCCTACTTTGGGAATATTCTTCTCCCATGGGTGGGGGGTGGTCTTCATCCCAGTCCACGGAATCCTCATCCGTCAGCACAACGATGTGGCACTCTCGCTCCCCTTTCTTGGCACAGCCCACCATGATGGGCAGGATCAGTTCTTCGAGGTAGTGATCAAACTGCTTGTGAGCACCATCGTTAGACAGTTCATGCAGTAAAGCACCTGTGGAGAGAAAAAGCAGCTGAGCGCACCTGCTGTGGAAGACACCGATCACCTACGAGGTCAACAGCCACCGTCACTGGTAAGGGCCACAGAAGGCACAGTTGCAAAGAAGTGTTTCCTGCTCCAGGGTGACTATCACATGTGTTTCATATTCTGAAATGTTTCAATTCTCTCAGGTTTATTAATCCCTGGGCATTCTGAGTAACTCACTCAAGTTCCCAGCGGTACTCCACCCCTGAGCTACAGCCCTGCCCTTTTTATTTCTGGGACAAGATCTTGCTATGTTGCCCAGGGAACCCTCCAACTTGCAATCCTTCTGCCTCAGCAGAAGTAAGTGGGCCTATCCCACCACCCCTGGCTCCAAGAATAATAACAGTAAGAGCACAGAGTCTGTAGTCGCTGAATTCTAGTCCCAGATTTAATGATTCCAGCCTTGAACAGTGAATGTTTCGGTGCCCTCACTTATTAAGTGAAGTCAGCACCATCACTGAGGTTGTTAAGCAAGTCGGCATTTATCAAGCACTAGGGAAGCGCTGGTTAACAGTCATGACTGGAACCATGGTAGGAAGAACCCAGCTGACCTGCGCTGTCTGACTTTATCAGTGAGCCTTTCTGCGAGGACCACAAGCTGACACCAGCACCCTAGCTACAAGGGAACCAGTTAGCTTGGTGACTGGCTCGCCAAGCTCGATTTCAAACCCACTGCTGGGTTTCCTTTGTTTACTACACTCTGAGGCGGCAGAGGGAGTGGGTTTGCTAGTAGGACGTCCCTGTTCTGTAGAGGATGCCAACCTACACTTCAGACTCCTTCGTTTAGTAATAAAAACAAAGCGTTCACTTCTAAGCCAACTGCAAGCCGGGCTGCTCAGGTGCAGTGGGCAGCTATTCTGTACTCACTCAGATCTTGACACCGGATGGTGTTGAAGTCGAAGTTAATGCAGAGATAATCGCACGTATCTCTAAGGTCTGGGATAGAGATGCCATCTGGACAATTGATGATACCAGTTTTGTAATAATCCTGTAAACAGATTGGGAGGAAAAGAGTAGGCAAAGAGCTTTCCGGTTCTGTCGGGGTAAGGGGTTCCTGGGATCACCAATGGTGATTCAGGGCCAAGGCAGCCCCTGGTAATCAGACGTTAACAATGACTGAGCTAACACGGCAGGAAGGACTCACATTATATAGACGAGGAAATACAGCAAGGTACCAACTGGAGACAAGCTAAAACCAGTAACATGGCTCTTAAGGAAGAGGAAATCAAGATAAACGCTACTACCCACCAGCACCGTGCGAAACACAGTTGCACTGATGCCTTCGGCAATCTCATACTCTCCCTTCTCGTTGGGCCGAGTGAAGTTGTACTCTCTTCCAGGTCCGAACATCCTGAAAGACAACCCGGCAGCACGTTACCTTCGCCAGCGGGACCCTCCCCACGCGGCTGGCCCCTCTTCGCCTCCGCCTCATCGGGGAGACCACTCTGCTCGCTCACAGCGCGAGTGAAGAACACAGCACCAGGTCTCAGTGGCCTGGAGGCGAACGGGGTCGCAGGAAACTCTCTTTGGACAGGACAGGGCGGCAGTGGGTGCTCTCGGCCTGTGTGCGCAGAGTGGAATGACATAGCAGCTCCTGAAAGTTCATCCCTACCGAGGCTGGCAGCATATTAGCAACTGCAGGCGCGGCCTTTGGAAAAACTGGGGGATGCGTGGCGGGTGCCCCGCACGCCCTCTCCACCAGTGGGTACAGCTGTGTTGCTGCTCTCCTTTCCTGGTGCACCTCAGCGGTGCAGCTCAGGAGCAAGTGCCCATCTGCAACCCACAGTTACTCTGACGAGGGGATTTCAGATCACGCAGAAGAGAGGGCAGGTATTAGGGTTCTAGCAGGCTGGCATACTTCAGGGGCGCCTGTGTGAACTTGGGAGTTGTGAGGGCAGTGGTACAGGCACGCTTTTCTCATTCATCTTTCCCCAGCCTCCCCTGCTTCTCCCAGGTCCCCTCCGCTCCTGCCACACTTTGTATATGAGATGGTGGGTGGGAAGACAGCACAAGGCCTGGGTGGAAAGTCTCTATCTTCAGCCAGCCCGATTTGATTTCCCAGTGGGGACTCACTGCCACTTCCTTCCTTAGCCTGCTGGGAAGCACCGCTTTCAACTGTTATTCTCTACCCTGAACTGGCTGCTTTCCAAACGTCTGAGAATGCTTCCATATCACATGCTTTCCTAATCACTTATGATGCACAAGAAAACTCCCCGATAAAACAGTCTCCAAAGAACGCCGACACTGTTCTGGACATCCGGGTGAGTCTAGCTGACAGGGCATGGGGTCAAAATAGTGAACACCACACTGTGACCACAAGTCCTTCTGTCCCCCACCAGTTGGACTTAAACTCAGGGTTGTTAATCTAATGGTACTAGTGGCGTGGATTTCCTTTAATCTATTCTCTCTCAGCTCACCCATCCTGTGACTGGTACCCTCATCTGTAAGCACTCTGCCTGGGAAGGAGCATCCATGGGATGCATCCACGGGACAGAACAAACCTGAGCACCTCAGCCTGCCCAGCTGAATGAACCACCTGACGAGCCAGCCTCTCCCCTCCACGTGGAAAACAACCTACCCCTACAGGCGAAGAACCGAGACTTTTCCCCAAATGCCTATCTTCCCTTGATCACTACCTGCAGAGGCAGTGACCCTGAAAGCCAGCCTGCACTGAACCACTCTTGAGGGGAGGGGACGACAGTGGTGACACCAAAACTGAGAACAGGAACACAAGCCTGATAAAATATACAGCCAAATTAGAAAATAGTCTAATATTCTACTTTCATCTTCATTCAGATGTCTGAGAAACATAGACAGTTTTGGTTCTAGCTTAAGCGGTTCATTTTGAACTTAAATGCTCCTATATATACATTTCTATAACTGGATTCCATTTAGTTTAGATTCAGCAGATGAATATGATCCATCTGATTTCTAGTTCGTTCAAGTTAGTTCAAGGTCTTGAGTGAAATTAGATCTTTACACAAAATACAACCAACTTCCAAGTAGGGGAGAAGCCGCTAGAGTCAGTCTACCTGTACCCTACTGTCCCATTACTGTCTTTACTCTTCTCATGTTAATGCATGGCCAGGAAGAGGGTCTCCTGCCACCCAGGCCAGGCTCAGGAGTGCCCGCTGCCAGCACTCCCCTTAGCAGGCTGTCTCCATTCCCAAACTCCGCCCTGTAGAGCAGGGACAGGTCTTCACCATCTGCAGAAGGGTTGAGAAGAAGCAGGGGGCTGAGGCAGGAGGATCACTGTGAGTTCAAGGCCAGCCAAAGCTACACAGTGAAGTCAAAGCCAGGCTGAACTACCTAGTGAGGTCCAGTCTCAAAAAAACAAAACAACAACGAAGAAAACCAACAGCACATCTACTGCCAAGCATGTATGTGGCAATAGATGGTACATAAAATGTTTTTCAGTAAAATAGCTCTGCTCTTGTCGTAGGGAACATTTCTTTAATACTGTTTTTTCTTAAAAGAAAAAAAGAACATGACTTAGGATCCACGTATGGAAGGATCTTTGACCCGCGCAACCTGGGACCTGTTACAGTGAGCTCAGAGGAGTAGGGATGAGATCGGGCAAGTTACATTCCGCGGTCCTGACTAGTTTCACGTGCTTGTGCGGAGGCTGCTTCCGCTGCCTGTCTTCAGGCCTGGCTGTGTGGTGCTGTCGGCGGAACCCAGGCCCTACCCATGCTGGGCAAGCGCTCTGCCTCTGAGCCACACCCCAGCCCCTAGCCGGCTCCGCACGGGAAAGACAGCAGCCCCTCCAGTCATCACCGCACACGGCTTTGCTAGCCTGCCGGCCCCCTTCACAAGAGGGTAAAGGTGGGAAAATACGCAGTGCAATGCTTCTTAGTCCCCCAGGCAATGCCAGGCAGACAGCATATACTTCCGTGTGACGGAACAGAGTGGATTTAGAAGGAAATTAACAGTTACCTTCCCAACATGGTGTCCGGGTGAGCAGTGAAGATTTGCGGATTCACAACAAATCGTGTGCCATCTACCAGAAGCGTCACTTTCTCTGGTGCTTGGGAATGAGAGTTACTGCCAAAGCCCACGCTGCTATTTCCAAATCTCTCCGGAGCAATGAAGGGGTCATGGCTCCGTTTACTCCCACTTTGGAAGCAAGAGCCTTTGATGTCCTCAGAAAGGGGCATTATGTGAGGGAACTGAAGATTTGCTGGCAGAGAGGCATAGTCAAGCGAAAGATCTGAAAAACATACAGACAAACCAAGTCACCTGGGAGAAAAGTAAACCCTGTCCTCCCTAAAACAATGAACCAAAAAAAAAAAAAACCACACAAAAAATAAAAACCCCAAACTCCTGCATGTTCACATGGCAAAAACCAAAACTTATTGCATAGAGTAAGTTTTAAAACTCAACTAAACTACAGAGATTCACTGAATATTGATTCGCAGAATATTCCTGAACTTTCTCCCATGTATGTGTGGGAATCAACAGGGAATGAAGGCTTTTTTTGGCTTTTTAAAAACAGGGTCTTATTACGTATTTCAGGCTAGCCTTGAACTTGCAGTGATCCTCTTGCCTCAGCCTCCCCAGAACTGGGATTATAAGCATGCACCACCATGCACAGCTGAAATGATTTTTAAGATGTAAACTGCATAGACGGTTTAAAAAATTTAAACCACAGAGAAAAATTTATGTGATGCCCCAGAAGTCCCCTGCACTCCTAAATCTCCCAAGGATGGTGCAGGGGCAATTACTTTTATTTCTGTTTTATTTCTAGCTCTACAAAATAATCTTCTATTTTCAGTTTTATTTTAGAAGCCCACTGTTGCTGTATGCTAAAACTATTAATTTTCGCATTCTTCAAAATTATTCTTAAATTTTACTTTCCTGAAAGAGCGCGAGCCTCTGATGTAATGCATCGCGTTTCCCCGGAATTTCCAGGTCCAGGAGGCGCCTGACAACATGCACACACCTCTGACCAGGAAAGCCTTGTTCTCAGCACCAAAGCTCAGCGCAGACCACTTTCGGATTCATTCATGGAACCTCGTTTTTTGTCTTAGTATCACCAAAAAGCTGTTTTCTTTATGTTATTTAACTTTTCTAAACCTGATCTTATCTAGAAAATGAGGATAATAATGTTCACTGTAGCTACCTCACAGGGTTGTTCTCATAATGAACTGAACAAAGCATGAGATCATACTAAAATTGCAAACATCACATGGTACCACACAGGCTTAAAACCAATTATGTGAAACCTGGATGTGCACTGCAGAATCAGAAGTATTTACAAGAACACCACCAGGTGACTGCTGTAAAACTACTGTAAAAAGTTTTCTTTTACTGTCAAAGAAGTATTTTTTTAATGAAAAATTTCAAACATACAAAAGCACATGCTTAATACATTTATCCCATCACTTACATTTGGCAAGCTTAGTTAACATTTTCAGACCTTTTCCGAAAAAGTTTTGAAAGAAATAAAGGTCACATGGTACACCTGAATGTCTCACTTTCATCCCTGCTGCACTTTATTTATTTATTTTTTTGTAGTGGGAATCGAACTCAGGACCTTGCGCTTGCCAGGCAGGCGCTTATGCCACTGAGCTACATCCCCAGCCCCTCCCTCCTGCATTTTAAACATGTTTACAATTATCCACTGACAAGACTACTGCCTGTGACCTCTGGGAAATGAGTCTGATTTCCTGCACTGATGACAAAATAGTTAATAAAAGGAAGCGCACATCTAGACAAAAACCTACTTAAGAGTTCACGCCCTAGAGGGTCCAGATGTTCGGCATGGCCCTCGTCTACACCACACACAGCCTGCCCGGGGCAGCAGACACCCTGCTCAGCATCAGGCGTTCACATTGTAAGTGCTGCTCCTCACGTGAAGCAGGCACCCAAGGACTAGTTCCGCTCGTTAGAGTGCTGGGCTTCCCCTCAACAGTGCAGTCCTTGAACTGGGCCGGTGCCTGAACCTGAGGAAGCAGCACCGCTCACGTGCTGCTTGCGTAGGGACAGGAAAGCAACTGCACAAGGCCCGCCTCGTGCCGGCTCTCGAGCAGCCACGCGCATGCTTTCCGTCAGCTGGTCCGCACAGCTCAGCCTGCTCAGAAAGACGACTCAGCCTGGCGCGCGCCTCCAGCAGCACCAGGAAAAGGTCACCCAAGCCCTGGGTTTCTTCCCCTGTGCAACAAGGACAGCCGTTGTCAAGTGTCACCGAGACAGGGATGGGCAAACTTTCTGCAAAGGGCCAGCAAGTAAGTTATTTTAGGTTTTGCAGGTTACAGTCTCCACTGCTATCAGCTGGGGAGCAGCTATAGATGTAAGTAACTAGTGAACCGAGGGCTGACTGCAAAGAAGTTTTATGTGAAAAACAACAAGCAGTCTAATCTGACCACAGGTTACCGTCCTGGCTCTAAAGGACGTACTGTGTGTGACATTCCAAGTAAGGTGGCGCTTGGTAAATGGCAACTGCTATTATTCTTGCTATTTTTTTAATTACAAGTTTAAAAGTATGACTAAAAAGTAGAGCTGGTCACTTAGCCAACTTGTAAAGAACTGACAGGGAAGACTCATCTGGACATGGACCTGCTCTGAGCAGAGTCTCAGGCCTTGTTCGTGAGCTCAGAACAGAGACAGAAGGAAGCTTACAGGACGAGGCGGAGGCGAAGGGTTCACACTCGCACGGGGTGGCAGTCCGTACGGCATGCAGCTTCTGCCTGGGCCCGGGAATATGCCAAGGCATTCGATGGAAATGCATCCGCTTGCTAGAAACAGTACAGATCTGATGGGGAATTTTCTTAGACGCGTTACACTCAGTACATTCTTGCTTTACGTCTCATTTTAAGTGAGCATTAAGGAAATACAGTATTTTAATTGTAATTCTGCTAATACTCTTACCTAGAAGCCTGTTGCTATCTCTTCTATGGAAGTTTTATCCTTAAGAAAAGCAAGACTAGGTATTTTTCTAAAAGGGAGCTGCTGTCGTCATTTTGGTTACCAAAACACTCATCTAGCTTTGGGAGTTTTAAACTGGCACATATTCACGATATGCGGCAAAACACGACGCCCACTGTCCAGTCTCAGCCTGTCAGAGGGGCTGCTGAGTCTACACACAGGACCCACAGGGAGCGTCCACCTGAGCCTCTCATTCTTCTGCACGGTTTTGCTCTTGACTTATTTTCTCCTGTTCTCCATATGGCACCTATTAACTTCTTAAACAGTAAGGTTATTGTAAAAACATGTTCAAAATTAAAGAGAACCTCAAAATTAATAAGGTGCATTCATACTGACTCAATCCACCAGCCTCGTAAGAATGAGCATTAGTACTGTTTCCTAGATAAAGGAAAGCAGAACTCAGGGTGAGGAACTCATCCATGGCCACAGCTACTGAATAGCAGAGCTGGAATCTGAATGTTGTCTTATACCACCACCACCAAGGCAGGAGTGCTAAGCTGATTAAATATGTGGAGATTTTGTGAAGGTCAGCTTAACAGAAATGTGATATACTAGCTGAGCCAATGAACTGGATAACACATCCGGGTTAAGGACACCCACGCCTGCCGGGGAGAGCACACGCTCAGGCGTCAGAAGGCCCCACATTAAGCAGGAACTAATCACCTTACCTTCACTCCTGGCACCTACGGGGTAAGTGAGATTATGAAGACCAGCTGAAGCCAGGCTGTTTGTTTCTTTTTCTTGAGCCGCAGCTATGGTATCATTCGACACCTCAGGCCGCAGTAACCTGTCGCCATCACTGCCACGGTGAACATTCATCCTCGGCCCCGAATCCTGAACTGTCTGCTTGATCAGAGAGAGATCCTAGACACAGAAACATGCATTGTTCAGAACCCACACACCCGGTTTCCAAGGACTCCCATGGTATGAAAGCCAGGCGGAGAAGTGATAGCGCTCTTTCTTGTTTTCATGAGAAAGGGGCAATTCAAATGTTTCTGTGATTTTAGGTTAGAAGATTAGGCTCACTTTGTCTTCACCAAATCACTTGGAACACTGATAACCTTACCAGGGAGTAGTTTTACACTGCACCCATGAATGGGTATCAGGTCCCCTGACTTTGGATACATTATATGGTGGGACAGTAATGTGATGTTTGTATCACGGATGCAAGGGGTGGGGTGGGGGATATAGCTCAATGGTACAAGCGCCTGCCTGGCAAGCCTGAGGTCTTGAGTTCGATTCCCGGTACCAAAAGAAAAAAGAACAAATGCAAGGGGTGGGTAAAGAGTACAAAGAAAATCTGCCTATGTTTTTAAAAATGCCATAAACACTGTTGTAACCATTAAACACCAGGAAATTAAAAGCAATCACAATCATAATGCATTAAGAAATGGCATGAGAAGTCACCTGAGCTTTTAAAAAAATAGCTTTAATTTGTAGCACTTAATTTCCTTTTTCTCATTTTCACCTTCTCATCTTATGCTTAACCCCAAAAGCGACCACAAAAATATACTGGCTGCAAGACCAGTGATCCAGTTCTCCCCCAAGCCGTCCACAGGGCCCATGAACACACACAAAGCGACAGCCTTGTGCAAGACCCTTGCTCATCAGGAAGAGCGGGGGAGCAGCAGGAGCCACCTTTCCGCTGTGACGTCGCCTGCAACCCTTCTGTGCTGGGCGGCCCTGACCGCTCGAGCATTCCTGAAGGCAGCCTGAGCACACAGTCCACCCTGGGCTCGTCTCCACTTGGCAGTGGGAGGAATATCTTAAGCCAGCAGTCATTTATACGCAGTATGTCTTAATACTCTGCACTTCCAGACGTACCAAGCATGCGGTAGGTGGCCACAGCCATCTGTAGGGCAACCCATTCAGGACCCCTCCTGTCTCTCTGGAGCTATTCCTGGTCCCCAATAAATTTTCCTACTCTTTAAAAAAAATCTAATACAAACATTGAATAATCTCTATTTATAATCTATTAGTAACATGAGCATAAGTCTGATCAGCTTAGTGCCTATTTTAACTTAGATATAATATAAAAATAACCACTTTGAAAAGACGGATCAGGGGCTGGAGATTTAGCTCAGCGGCACAGCGCCTGGCTGGCAAGTGCAAGGTCGTGAGTTCAATTCCCAGTACCAGAAAAAAAAAAAAAGAAAAAAGAAAAGACGGATCAATGCATGTGCCTGAAAAACTAGTCATTTTAAGGAAGAGATACTTTCAGCTGATAAAACTTATTCTTAGACAATGGCTCTTACAGGATAAAGCGAAAGGACTAAAGTAAACATACTGATAAAACGCCAGATATGTGCCCACAGCTTTTTCAGAATTACCCTTCCTTAAAGAAAAAACTATTTAAAATACAAAAAACAAAGCCATTTAAAATTCATCCCTAAAGTCAAACAGAACCCCCAGTGCCCTCAAATTTGACTACGACGTTAAAATCAAGTTTATTTGAGAGGCCCTGAGTTCCATTCCCAGTACTCGCTCCCCAAATCAAGTTTAAAGAACAATACAAAGAAGTCTGGGTCACGGATACAGCTCAGCGGGAGAGTGCTTCCCTCACGTGGGAGGTCCTGGGTTTGCTTCCTAGCACCAAACAAAAAAGAGGTCCATGGATTTATTTACCCCAGCATTCGGGACTTGTCTTAGTTTCTTTTCTAGTCGCTGAGACAAGATACCTGACACCCAAAGTTAGAAGAGAAAAGGTTACTTTGGTTCACAGTTTGTAGAGGCTTTTGTTCACAGACAGCTGGCTCTAAGACAGGGTGGCATGGCAGACAGGCATCGGAGGAGAACTAGTTCACGGCAAAGCAGGGAAGGCAGAAGGCAGCAAAGCAGCAAGCAACAGCAGTCCTCTTTCTGTCCCTTATATTCCATCCAGGCTACAGCTGCTTAGGGTGTGCAGCATTCATATGGAGGGTGGGCCTTCCCGTCATCCACACCCAGAACTATGCCAAACCAAGCAGAGGACTGATTTAGTAATCACACAACCCTGGATCCCAGCATCACACTTCATCCCAGCCACCTCTGAAAAGCCCCACTTACGACCACGTGGGGTTTTTGAAGAGACTTCTGGAGATGAGCCATATAATAGGACTGAACCCAGGGACATTCTACCACTGAGCTACATCTCCAGCCCTTTCTATTTCTTAAAAAAATTTTGAGACAGATCTTGCTATATTCCACTCTACTATAGCTACTGCCTCTCCTCCCTTCAGTGGCTGCTCAAAAACACTCCAAAAAATCCTCAAGGATATTCCAGAAAGTGATAATGAAGCTAACAATGATAAAAGGTCTAACAATGAATACATCAGGTAGGGAGACCAGTTAAGTAGAAAAGGAAGAAAATCAGCAACAGGAAAACAATGCAATGAAAGGAGTAAGTTAATACCCATCAGTAATAACTCTCCTTGTTCAGTCTCAATCCCCCAATCAAAAGACAAAAATTGGCAGAATGGATCAAGACACAACATGTAGTATGCTATACACACGAAACCTATTTAACCCAAAAAGAAATTCATAAACTAAAAACCAAAAGATGGAAAACAATTATTTCATGCAACAGGAATCCCCCCAAAAAGGCAGCTGTAGCTATCCTATTTTCAAACAAAGTGGAGTACAAACCAAAACTAAACACAAGAGGCAAAGGCCACTACGTATTAGCTAAGGGAATAACTCAACAGGAAGACAATTTTTAACATATATACACTGAATAACCGTGCACCCAACTTCATAAAACAAGTACAACTGAACATAAAAGATCATATAAACAAAATGCAATTATAGTGGGAGACTTCAATACCACACTGTCACAAACCGATCAACTAGACAAAAAAAACGACAAATACCAGAGTTAAACAAAATCTTTCAACAAATGGACTTTGTAGAAATCTACAACAGCCTATCCAATAACAGAATACATATTCTTCTCCGCATACATGGAACTTTCTCCAAAAGCAACCACGTGCTATCCAATTAAGCATGCTTAAGTAAATGCAAAAGAATCAAAATTATACCATGCATATTTTCAGATCACAGTACAGTGCAACCACAGATCAATGGCAAAAGAACACAGGAATTACATAAGTGCATGGGAATTAAACAATACACTGCTGAATAATCAATGGGTTACAGAAGCAAAGGAGAAATAAAGACTGTTCATGGAACTAAACAATAATGCCAGTACAACGAAGAACTTAAGCGACATAATGAAAGAAATCGACAAGACTGAGACTAAAATAAAATAATAATATAAAGAATCAACAATAAAGAGCTGGTTCTTTAAAAGAATAAACAACAAATTGGCTAGAACAACAACTTAGCCAATTTTACAAAAAAAAAAAAAAAAGAAAGAAAGAAAAAAAGGTGAAATCACATCAGGCACTGCCAAAATCCAGATTATTAGCAGCTACTTTGCAAACCTATATGCCAATCATTTGGAGAATTCAGAAATGGATAGATTCCTAGATAAATACGAATTACCAACACTGAACCAAGACATAAAAACCCTGAATAATCCAGTAACAGGCCATAAAATTGAAGCAGCAGTAAAAAACAAAATAAAACAAAACAAACCTATCAATTAAGAAAAGCCTGGATGGATTTTCCCATCCTGGATGGATTTTCCCCTGAATTTCAGAAAAACTTCAGGGAATATATGACACCAATGCTCCTAAAAGTTCTTTAGAGAAACTGAACGCGAAGAAGGACTCACAAAAGTCATTTCTGGAAGCTAGCATTACTCTGATTCTAAAACCAGACAAGTATCCAACCAAAAAAGTTAAGTTCCATAGTGTCGAAGATAGGATTTCAAGCCCAAGATCTGGGCCTGGTACATACAACCTTTCTGTGCCAATAATGGGCACACACAGCATCTTTACCATTTAAATGACTGCTATTACCTCCACATAGGGGGTTGATTTTACACTGAGTATAGATTAAGATCTTACCTAATGCTGCTATTGCTTCTTTCAGCTTAATATGTAACAACTGGGTAGATGAGATTCTCTAATTTACATACAGGGTGCTTCGTCTTTTGACTCAACTAGTTAAGAGCATTCTAATGACGTCTTTAGGCCAGACACAATCCAAGACACGTGACAGACCAACCAAAGGTCACGACTCTCAAGAAAAAGCCAGTTAACGTACAACTACGGCTCCAGGCTGAGGTCCCTGATTTCAGAGTCTGAAATGCTTGGCAGCATCGCAAGTGTTTTGAATTTCAGATTTCTGTCAGATGTTTGAATTTTTTTTTGTGATACAGGGTGTCTTGGTTACTTTTCTCTCACTGCTGACACAAAATACCCACCGCCCAAAATTAAGGAAGCAAAGGTTTACTTAGCTCAGTTTGTGAAGGTTTCAGTCTATAATCAGCTGGCTCCAAGGCAGGGTGGCATGGCACAGGGGCAACACCTCAAGGTGGCACAAGACAACAAAAGCAGCAAGAGCAAAACGGGAGGAGTAGCAAGCAAGTCTCTTTCCCTCCCTTATACTGTATGCAAACTACCCGCCCCAGGGTGCCCCAGGGTGCCGCACTCACACCATAATCCCGGCGCTGGACCATGAATCAATCATAAACTCTAGAAGACCACCCCATGACTGCATGAGGCTTTGGGGAGACATCCACACACAAACCATGACACAGGGTCTCCCATGTAGTTCAGGCTGGCCTCAAACTCAGCAGTCTCCCTTGGCCTCCCCAGTGCTGGGATTACAAGTGTGTACCACCACACTCGGCAGGTTTTGGAATATTTGCATAGGTGTAGTGCATATTCATAAGATATCCTGGAAACGGGACTGAAGCCTGGTTATGAAATTCATTTGCGTTTTATACACACATAGTCTGAAGGTAATTTTATATAATGCAGATGCTACTTGTTTAA